TTCAATGAATGTTTTCAATTGCCAATCTTGTTCAAAAGAAAACGAAATCCCTATATTGGCAATTATGTCATGTACATCAACTACATGTTCATTCAAAATCTAAAATGATTTAATAAAGTTAAGTTTGGATTGCACATCATTGGTTAGAATGAGAGTACTAGAGTGAGAGAATGCTGAGAAATGGTCAATTTTAGGATTACAAATTTACTTTCTTCTTCATCGTTTTGCTGCATATCATGTCGAAAGGAAGATGGTTCATTAATGAAAGAGGTGAATGTGTGCCACATGATCCGAATTAGTTTGGTGGTGTTGTGAAACAAATTGAGGAATGATAGAGTTGTCAACAAGTAGAGTGAAATAATGTTGAGCGTCCGTACGAAACGAGTTGTATTTTCACACACAAGGATTTTGATCATCCAACAATTGAATTTCATAAAATCACACATTGTTTCAATACAAGCAACATGAATCATTGTAGTTATGTTACATTGAATAATAGTCCGAAACACACATCGTCGATATATGTGTGTCATCATTCCATAACACATCATCATCATTGGTAGAACATAGTCACAGTTGTTCATTATTATCATATAACAACTATCACAACAGCTACAACATACCATCAACTCATCAAACCAATTCTTAAATTCATTCCATTCAATCTCTCCTGATCCATCTTCATCTAAAATTGCCATGGCGTCATCCAATTGTTCATCCGTAATATTTTTCATCGATTCATCTCCCATTGCTTCACCAATGTCACGGACTAGCACAGACAATTCATCTCTACTGATTGTTCCGTTACCATCACGATCATAGAAATCGAAGAAGAATTTTGTGAGTTTTTCATCAATTTTTGCTCCTTCGATGGCTTCTGCGAGAAGAGTTAAATCTTTGAAGAGATTGCCAGTAGGTTTGACTTCAAAGAAGCGAAGGACTGGTTCGAATTCTGTTTTGAGTTTTTGAGAGTAATCGTATGGAGTGCTTGTCATTTTGTGTTTGATTTGTGTCGAATTTTTTTTGAAATTTTTATAATACTTGTTGATGGGTGAAATTTGACAGCTAAAGAGAACGAGCTCATGTTGGTGATTAAAATTTAACTCAAAAAGAATGAAAAGTTGGAATAGTCTCTAAGGAGTGGATTGTAGCCAGATTTTGTAGCAAACTTTTCTTTTTGTGCATATTGATTCATAAATTGAGATGATTTCACAACCTTAGAACCTCTCAACATTCCATTGTTGTCTCTACAAACTTTTCCGTACACTTGTTGCATGGTTGCAAAATCAGTGGCAAAGAAAATATCACATTCACCCTTTGGAACGAGATACGACCGAAATGAATGAGATTCAATGCTGTAATTTTCGTCTGATGTGATATCTTCCTTTTTGAGAAAGATGGTTCTTTTTTCTCGAACTTTTCGTAATAGATTTGATGCCTTCATGAATTTAAACTTTTTTTTGCACAAGAGGACGATTGGTTTCACCTGATTCATCAGTTCCTAAATAGTCAAAATCGGCACATATGAGTCTGTGTTTGGGAAAATTTTGATAGAGCTTCTCAATGATTTGAAGTTGCACTGTGGGAATGAACATCACATGATCTCCACCTATGGAGCTCATTAATAAAGATCTCATTCCCCCAACGGACTTGGAGAAGAAAGATCTTATACCTTTTTTGATTTTTCCAGCTCTTAAATCCTCAATAGCTTTGTAAAAATATCTCTGAGAAACAGAATTTGATGTATTTTGAGTGTCTCCCTCAATGATTCCTGATAAATAAAGATATCGTATAATTAGCTCATCTTGACAAGGAAGAAAAACCTCTCCATAATAATTCGTAAGGGGATCTTCAAAAACATGGCATTCAAGTACATTTCCTTCGCCGTCAATGGATACCTTGTCATGAGCACAGTTGTCTAACACCTCCATAGCAATTACAAAACATTCATCTTGTTCAACATTGCTCCAATCCATGAAAGAGGCGTGATGAAGCATTAGTTTACCGTTTTTTACATGTCTAGCACATCTAATTTTTTGTTGTTCGTGAAGTTGTGAAGAAATCTCAATAATACTATATTCTGTTCGCTTGTAAATTTCTGGATATTCCTTTTCTAAATAATCCAATACATTCCGAGCACATGTTCCCATTCCACCTCCCATTTCATAAATTTTAAGTGGTTTTTCTAAATTTTCATTCTTTCCTTCTCCAAAGGTAGTTCGTAACATGTATTCTGCAATGGCGATTCCATAATATGGTTGAAATATTTCGATGGGTGTTCCCCAACTTTGAGGACCTCGTTGATATAATTCTGACAAGTTTTCCAAATAATCTAATTGATCTTGCAATTCATGAAAAGGTAAAATCATTTGTTCATCAAATGATAAATTATTATTCACTAAATCTTTTTCAAATTGATCCGTTTCAGTGGTATCCGTCCGAGTTAATTTTTCATCTCGTAGCACTGGATGCGTTATAATTAATTCATGGTCCTTCTTATTGAAATAACCATACTCGGGATTGTAAAGAGAGTCATGAATAAATTCTCTAACCAACTCGGTACGTTCTTTAAATTGATATCCATACGTAACTACTCTTGATTCATGAAATGGTCGTATCCTTGTTTGATGAAGGAGTGATGGTAAATATGATAAGGTGGCTGCTGTATTGATCGTCCCTCTACGAGTCAAAGAAATTGAATAATCATTCAAGAAAAGCCTTTTCATCATTTTTTGCTTCTCCGAAGAAGAGGGCTTGATGGAAGAGGATGGGTTCTATTGGATTCATAAAGAGCTTTCAAAAATCATCTTGTATGAATCTCGTTGGTCAACAAAATGTTCTTGAAAATGTAAAAGATCTGAATATAAATATCATTAATCTCTGAGAGTTGCTTCAACAACTTGTTTGAAAGCACAAGAAGCGAAGAGGAAGAATACTCGCATTCAAAAAAAATGAGTATCGATCTTTTACATTTGCAAGAACAAGTGTTCAAGGATCCGAAGGCTTATCGTGATGATTTCCTTCTTCAGTTGAAACACTTGGAAAACCAGACGGAAATTGCAAAATTAAGACCCAGTGATGAATCTAAATATTTCATCAAATTGTTGCAATTTTTGAGTGTTGCTTGTAAAGTTTTCAAAAACGATACAAAGCCCTTTGCCGTAAAGGTTTTGGAATTGTTAGAAACAAAGCAACAAGAGTTAGAACCCAAGTTGAGAAGACAACTTGCTATTACATTGATTGCATTCCGTAATAATGACATTCTTGATTCGAAAACACTGATTCCTGTTTTGTTTAAATTATTTAGAGTTCATGACAAGACATTGAGAAGTATGGTTTATAAGCACATTTTATCTGACATCACAAAAATTAACATGAAGAAGAAGAATCCGAATGTAAATAGATCACTCCAAAATTTCGTCTTTTCCATGCTCAAAGATTCATTTCGTATTGCAGCAAAGAAGAGTTTGCAACTATTAATTACACTTTATAGACGAAATATTTGGAACGATGATCGTTGTGTCAATGTTATTTCACAATCATGCTTTTCAGATGACACCGCTCTTGTTGTGATTGCTCTCAAATTCTTCCTAGGCGAACAGGTGGAAGATCCAGACGAAGAGGAGGAAAAAGCGAAACAAAAGAATGATGACCGAGATCTTGGCCACTTGATTAGAGATTTGAAATTCAAGGTCAATAACATTCACTCAAAGAAGACAAAAAAGAAGGAGCACAAATTCCAGAAGGCTCTCAAGCAACTTAAAAAGAAGGATAAACATAAGGAAAAGGGTATGGAAATTGAATCTCTGAATACTCTCAACATGTTGAATGACCCTCAAGGTTTTGCTGAAAAATTATTCGCCAAATTGAAAACATCCAATGAAAAGTTTGAAGTTAGAATTCTCATGATGGATGTTATTTCTCGATGCATCTCTTCCAACAACTTGATTGTACTCAACTTTTATCCTTTTGTTCAAAAGTATTTGCTTCCATCACAAGCCAGTAAGTTTCACACGTTTGTGATCTTTATTAACTCACACGACTCTCCTCAGACATTACAAAAATCCTTGCCATAACAGCTCAATCAGTTCATGATTTGGTTCCTCCTGATGTTATTCATCCAGTTGTGATGACAATTGCCAACAATTTTGCGAATGACCATTCCAAACCTGAAGTCATTGCTGCAGGTTTAAACACGATTAGAGTGATGTGTTCGAGGCAGCCAAGAGTCATGACGAAAACATTGTTGAGAGATTTGTCTCAATATTCCAAGCACAAAGATAAGCAGGTGTTCCACGCTGCAAGAGGAATCATTACTCTTTTCAGAGAGCTCAGCCCAAAGATGCTTGCAAAGAAGGACAGAGGAAAGAATCACGATCCAGAGGCTGCCATTCCAGAATATGGTACACTCAAAGTTGCTGAAGGTGTTGAAGGAATTGAACTTTTGGAAGAATATGAAAAGAGAAAGGAATCTGAAAAAGATCTCATTGCGATTGAGGGAGAGGATGATGATGAGGAATGGATCGATGTCAGTGACGATGAAAATGAAACCGTTAGTATTCCAATGGATGAAGATGACGAAGAAGATGATGAACAAGATGACGAAGAAGGAGGCGAAGTTTTGAATTTGGAAGACGTTTTTGAATTGGACAGTGACGAAGAAGAGGTTATGGAAGATGAAGAACAGGAAGAAGAAAAACCAAAAGGCCCAAGAATGGATCATGTTAGAATTCTTACTCAAGAAGACTTTGATTTAATCAAGAAGCTTAAAAAGAGTAAGGAAATGGAAAAACTCATGGGAAACAAGAGAAAACGAGTCGCCAATCTTCCTGCCGCTGATGAAACTGTTGACGAGGATGACATTGGAGATATTTCAAAGGGTGATGAATCTGACAAGGAGCAACAAGAGGAACCTGAAACCAAGAAATTCAAGAGAAGACATTGGGATCAACCAGGTACCACCAATCACCAAAAGAAAAAGAATAAGCCATACATGATGTTGAAAATGTCTAGATCTGTCAGGCATAAGAACACCATGGGCCAAAACGAAAAGAAGGTCAGAAAGAAGTTGTCTGAAAAGAGACAATTGAAACACAAACTCAAGCATCGATAAATTTAGGAAACCAATTTTCCTCTCTCCACACGAATTCATTGATACGATTACAAAAAATTTACTCACACAAAAGCCACAGCACGCAAATCAACGTCATCGCACTGGCGAATTGGGTCATTTGTTGCGATTCCCGTCAAAAAGAAACGACAAGTCGTTCGATCTTCAACCCATTGAGGATCCAAATGAATTGGATAGGAGCTCATGAATGCTTATTCGCACCAGATACTTCCTTCTTAACTTATCACAAGAGGAGGCTTTTGTCGGGAGTATTCAAGTCGTATGAAGACAAATATCTTGAAAATTAGTCATATTGACATGTCCATGTATGTTCTATTTGACTTTTCTAAGAGCTCAACGCATGTATGCAGAAGGCTTGCTCCATATGAACAATCCTTTAATCTCTCAAGATAGGAAAACCATCTCTGATTTACTGAACAAACGTGTTTTAAAGCAGCAAATGGCTGAAGATGATATGACAGTTGGCAACATCGATAAAGGAGCTTGCAAAGACAACAATGCTCACAAACTGACATCTGAAGAAGCTGACAGATGGTCAAAGATTCCTCAAACCGTTATTTGAATACGCTGTATATCTCCTGCTTTCATTGAATCTACTTTATCATGCATGAACAAGATTTATTCACCTACGAAAAAGGAATGTCTTATTAGATATTTATTCATTTACTTTCTACTCAACCAGAATGAATTAGGTGACACATTTTTACATTTTCCTGTTGCCTTTGAAGAACAACTTACAATAGAAATTGCATTGCAAAAACAACCCAAACTGGCTCACATTTTAAATAAGGAATCACGTTCCGTGATGCTATTTTGGCAAGAAATTATTTGAATGCTCAAATTCTTTATCGCCTCATTACTCGTTATCATGCAGACATTTTTCAAAGAGACATGTATGGCCAGTTTCCCTTCAATGAACAGAATGATGTTGTTTTGGATATGACCAATAGTTTGGAGTACTAATAACATGATCCTTCTCACAAGCACGGACGCAAAAGGATTTGATGCTTTTCGTTAAAGGCTTTATCGAAACATCGTCAACCATAAAAAAAAAAGCGTGAATCCAAATTCGTAGGAAAGAAATTTTACGAACGTTTTTCATCATTCATAAAATACGAGTTGTTGTTGTTGTTGTTGTTGTTGTTGATCAATCACCCAGTCAGGATTGTGTAAAAGTTTTTTCCATCATCAGCACACTCGATTTTTCAAAAACAATTCGTTTACCGCAACACAACCACACTAGTTGATAATCATAAACCTACCATCACAATACAACCACGTACACTCTCTTCATCCGATCATCATTTTCCAATCAATAATCCATTAATCATCCAACAACAAGTATTAACGACATTTCTACAACATGGTGAATAGTGATCATAAAGTTAAATGGAAGCTAAGAAGCACTGGACAAGTAACACCACGTGCCGGTCATTGTGTTGCAAATATTCCTGGCACTCCACTCATGTACGTTTTCGGAGGAAGTCATAATCATTTAGGAGACCAAATATCTTCAAAAGAATTGGATGTTTATAATTGCAACAAAGAAGGATTTTGGAGAAGAGCTGGATTATCATCCCCTATTGAAGCTGAAGATGCTAAAATTCTGAGACCAAAAGCAAGAATCGGAGCAGTCATGGTTGGGATTGAAAGAGGACAAATGATTGGTGAATTAAGTTATGCTTCCACAACAATTTCCGAAAATCAAGAGCCACATAACGCACTCTTATTGTTCGGAGGCTGGCATGAAGATACCGTTCTTAATGATTTGTGGAAATTTAATTGCAAAACCGAAAAGTGGATCAATTTAACTGATAAGCAAAAGAACCCACCTCCAGCCCGTTCAAACCACAGTGGAGTTCTCATTGATAACAATTTCATTATTTTCGGAGGCCTTGGAGAAGAAATTGAAGATGTCAAGCAAGATATGTATATATTAGACGTACAGACATTAATTTGGAGAAAAATTCCACTTGATGATACCGACGAGAAGCCACCTGCAAGTAGATCACATGCCTGTTGCGTTCATAGGAAGTCAATGGTTTTATTTGGAGGAGGGACTGAGAAAGTATGCTTTAACCACCTCTACAAATTTGATTTAGAAGTAGAAAGATGGTTCAAGATTACTCCAAACAAGAGTGAAGAATTATTACAAGCAGAAAAAGACCCAACAAAACCAATATCTTCAAATCTTGTGCTCACTGAACCTGAGCCTCGCATGTTTTCAACAGCTGTTGTTTATGATTTAGATCGAATGTTTGTATTTGGTGGAAGAAATGGAAAACAAAAGATTAATGAGGTTTGGCAATTTGATTTTGCAAATTTACAGTGGAATTTAATGCAAGTCGGAGACTATTTAGAAGATGAATCTAATACTCTTGTCCTGAATGATGATGATATGGCAGGATCCGATGACTTTGATCAATTTCCTCTTCAATCTTCTGTACCTACAACAAATAATGATGATGCTATGAACGATGCTTCACCGCTTCCATCTCCTTTGACTCCATTTTCAAGCAAAAAGAGACCAACAAAGCCAACACCAAGAACTGGTATGGGCATGACAGTTGTCACAACAGGAAAACAATTAGGACCAAAGACTCAACGAATTTTAGTTTTCGGTGGAAATGATGTCAAGAAAAAGTTAAGTGAGGTTTGGGAGTTAATTGTGAATCCAAGAGAATTCTCAAAACGAGTGGCAGCTTTGATAGAATCACCCAACTTCTCAGACATTAATATTAAAGTATTTTAGACCTTTCAATGTTAATATAATGTTAACATCATAAAGGTCCATTATTGAGAATATTAAAATTCAAAATTTCAAAAAATGTCTCAACAACTCCCAGAAGGTTGGCGAATGAAAGAGTCTTCAAGTAGACCCGGTACTTTTTATTATATCAACAAGTATACCAATGAAACTCAATGGGAGCGTCCAACCAAGCCAGCTACACCAGGTGGTTCATCAAGCCATCATCACTCTTCATCCTCCTCCTCATCGGATCAGCAAGTGAAAGTAAGCCACCTTTTAATCAAACACAACCAATCAAGAAGACCATCATCATGGAGAGAAGAAAAGATCACCCGATCTAAACAAGAAGCTATTCAAATTTTGAGTGGACTCCGTGAAGAGATTTTCAATGCTAGTGATATCGCTGAGAAATTCAGTGAATTGGCATCAAAATATAGTGATTGTAGCAGTGCAAAGAGAGGAGGCGATTTAGGCTTCTTTGGTCATGGCCAAATGCAAAAGCCATTTGAGGATGTTTCATTCGGGTTGAAAGTTGGAGAGTTGAGTGATATTGTCGAAACGGATAGTGGTGTTCATATTATTTACCGGTAAGTCTTATGCAGACGGTATAGTTATGATTCAATTTTGAATTCCTCTTCTTGGGTTTTTTGTAAATAGAACGGCTTAAGAAGAACATTGATAAAGCAATGGAAAGATAACTTAAGAAGTGCTTTCTTTTCACGCTTCCGAGTAAACAATCAATTGCTAGTGATCGGTAATAATTAAATTTCGAAAATGTTTATTTCGTAAAACCAATTCATTTGAAACATTAATAAATCCATAATTAAGAATTATTTCTTGTAATCTTCTGGATGGGCTGTCCAACGCTCCGAAGGAATAGAATATCTTGGAGGGTGAGCTCTTCTCTATAGTGTGCAATTCATCGCAATCACGAATTTCAGTTTTAAAAATTATCGTAATATTTTGTCAATCATGTTATAATTATTAATAATGAAATCATTTCAAGCCATGTTGTTGTTCAAATTAGATAATAATAAAATTGAGTGGTTGTTGTTATGGATGATGTGTCAAGAACGCAGATATTCAAACAAAAATAAGTTGATGATGATGGCACCATCGGACATGATGACGACGAGGATAAACACGTACCTCGAATGTTGAACTGATTTTGAAAACTGGAATTGCCAACAAGAATACAACACCTAGAGCAATTTTAAAATTACGTGGAGCATTCTTTGAGTTAGTGTAATATCCTCCGGTTGGAGTCCACACGTCCTTTGGATAATTCATACGATGTCCTCCCATTTTTTGTTTTTAAAAGAAAATTTTCGAGGTTATATCAAAATAAGATTTAATAATTTACATTTATTGAATGACAGATATTGCTGTTGGAATGGCGAATGGCAGTCCAAAGAATTTTCGTGTCTTACAACACTCGATTTTCAATTACTGGAATATAATGTTCCGAAACATTCAGAATGATTGTAAACAACAAGTCGAATAAAACCATAACATACCTTGTGAGTTCTTGTCCAAGGGAAAGCCTTTGCATCCAAAGCAGCCTCTGTCACAATATCCAATGATGTGGTAAGTCCAACCCATTGATGATGAGCTCCTCTCACAAGAATGTGATGAATCTTCTTTTTCATTAGCAATTCTGCAACTTCATCTCGTTCCAAATCTTCACTACAAAACTCGAGATTTTTGTGCATAATTTCGGAAACTGGTGTTGAGGAAGGTCTGGTCTCTACAAATCCAGCTTTCACTAAATCAGACTTGGTAACTATTCCAACAGGCTCACCTGCTTCGTTAACGACCACAACACTTCCAATCCTTCTCTCAACAATGAGCTTGCTGGCATCTGCAAGGCTAGCTGTTAGAGGAACAGTAGCTACCTATTGATTGAGTTGGAAGAGGAGGTTTGAATTTGAATGGTATGGCAGTACAGTTCGCATCCATCAACAAGTATATTCCGAACAATCCCAATCAGACACCACGATAATCCATGAATATTCATGAAGTGTGTTTTAGCCAAATGTGCAAAAGGTGATCACCAAATCATTTTCATAGTTCCATCAAAATCATTCCGATTTTCAACGTTTGATGGTGTATACGTTAGTGGTCCATAAAATACAACCAAACGAATTCAACAATAACATTAATTTTAGTGTTCATATGAAAATCATATTCCACAAATCGGTAAGGTTAGGAATTAAATTCATCATGATCCGTACATACCTTGTCCTTGGGAATCATAAAAAGCTTGACTTTCATTCTGTACAGGGTGTGGTAGGCTCAATCACCAACGGAATCAATTTTTTGATAAATGATTAAGTACAAATTTGGAAACAACAGAAAATATAAAACACTGAGGATCATCTTCATGAGAATGTGGTTATCAGATCTTCTCTGATACAATGTATTTGAAATGGGAGGGTTCAAATAAATGCCAATAGGAAAACACAATTTCTTGTTGAGATCGTTGTGGAGTGTGGAAATAGAGAAAATGCAAAAGCACAAGACTTGGCAAGAGAAGAGATTGTTTGGCATGTCGTAGATCGCGGTGACATCGTTTTGCCAACACTCTCAGTACCAATTCTCTGTTATTGAGAATGTATCGGTTGCTCATGTCTTCTCCACGTCTAATCATTAAAGGAACTGCTTTCAGTAAAATATTTTCATAATCTTCAATTTCATGAGAGTTCATATCAATATAGTGTGCGTGCTGATATGATTTGGTGTAATGGACAAGTTTTTGTGAAGGACTCATCCAAAGATATTTCTTAGGGACAAACTCCTTGATGAGAAGATGTGTCTCTGGAAGCAAGAATAGTCCTTTGTCTGTCACAAGTTTAAAGAGCTTGGCTCGTTGATAGTCATAGACCATGAGCTTAAACATTTGTTTTTCATCCTCAGATAAAGGTGACATAAATCCGAATATGCTGCGCATGGATTGGTCTTCCACATCCAGAACGCTTCCTTTCACGGCCGATTTTAGCACAAATGCTGCGAGAAAGGACATGATGAATCTCCTCAATTTGGTTAGTTTGGAAAATGATTTGTGCAATGTTGGGTTTTCTGCTTTCTTCAGTTGCGAAGATTCCTCACGATTTTCGAATGCTTGCAACTTCTTCATTCTATCTGGATTCGTAATACCAATGAACGACAATACTTTTTGAGGAAATAGTTCTATGTTTCCTTTTGCTGTTTTTGTGTCAGTTTCGATGTTTTGAAAAAGAGATTGAATATCCTTCAAATTTTCAAATGTAAATCGATTCTCTAACATCCGTGATTCCAATTCTTGAATGGACCTGATGTTGAGATCAACGGTTGATCCCTTAATATCTCCAAAAGAGTCATGTTCAGACCATTGAAGAAAATTCAAGCAAGCATTCCTTCGCTTCTCGAGTGAGGATGGATGCATTTCAAAGAAGGCAACGCCCATGTCCTGTGTTGAATCGTGCTGATTACTTGATATAAAACTGTATACTGGTTTAAGTAGCAAGTAGTGAGCAATTCTGTGGTTGTAATTGTACAATCCTAACTTGTGCTGAGCATGCTGCTTCATTTTAGTCTGTTTTGTCTCTCTTAATTCTTCACACTGCTTAGCAAACGTTTTCACAATTTGACCTATCAGGGATTTGACTTCCTTATTACACTCAAAGGCATAGTGATAAATGTCTCTCTGCTGATCTAACATAGATATTGTTTGATCTAAAGGAGAAAAATGGCCATCTGAAATCTCAGCGGCTCCAACAAGATGAGTGTCTTTAAAATAAGTGACACATTCTTCCAAAGTTCTCAGCAACAAATTATTTGTTTTTGTCATCTTATTTCCTATCACATAAGCCTTAATTATTTTCTTAACATTCCACGCATTTAAAAATTCAATACGTTTGTCTGAATCGTCAGACAGAAAATGTTCCATCTCCTTCCAATATTGATCCAAAACTAACTTGGTTTTGTTGACATTATTTCCAACACGTTGATATATGGAATATTGATTATGAACTTTTGAAATAAATGCTAAAGGTACATTAATGGTGTGATTGAGAAGTGATTGTGGTATTATTGCTGGAGATCTTGTCAGAGCATCAACAATAGGTATATCCTCTTCAGATATAGTGACATGTTCTAAATTATTGATATCCTTATCAAAACTTGTAAAGAAATGAATTAAAATATTAGACTCTTGTTCTGGTGTTTCATCCATAGGTTCTTGCGACTTTTCGGTGGGTGTTTGTGCAAGAGTCAAATTAAACTTGGAAATTGAAAGCGGGTTGTCCAACAGCAACAATGCATCAATTATTTTTTCTTCTTTCAATTTCCTTCCATAGAGAGTTTGTAAAATAGTTTGTTGCTGTTTCACAAAAGTGTTAGGGTCTGAAATTCCATTCGTTCGGAGTTTATCATACATGTGAAAAAACTCAGCCTGATATAATTTGATTGTTTGCATTAATTCATCTGAAAGCCTTGATTTTGTTTTTTGAGTAGCTATTGTGTGAGATTCATCACGATGGCTCTTTTCTTTTGTAGCTTTTTGTAAATATTTCATCAAGAATTTAGAAGGAAATTTTCTGCTATGCAGCAATTTCTCCACTATTTCTCTCAATTTTTCAATTCCGAGACTCCATCTTCGTTCAAATTGTTCAACAAACAACAATGAATGATTTAAATAATTAGCAAGCTGATCCAATTGTTCTAACAAGAATTCTCTCATTTCATTTTCAGTTTTACTGATATTTATATGATGATACCATTCCGATATTCGAGTAACGACTACCGCATCATCATCATCGTGAGGTTTTTTCCTCATTCGTCCGTTTACCAATAATTCATGTTCCTCTCGCACCACATTCATCTTTGCATTTTTTAAGAGTTGATTGATTCATACAAATGAATTCAACCAGATCATCTCTGGTTGGGAGAGACGAATCATTGAGGTCGAAGCGACGGATCGTCAAGATTCCGGATTTTCATAATTTGAATCTGGATACTAATTAATTTAAGTATGGGATCTGTCACCTTAATGATGGTTCCCTCACAAAAGTGTATATGAGAGAATGAATATAGTTTGAAAAGAGAAGAGTGAACGACACTCGTGAACATGCTGACAAACTCCCCTATCAACTTCAAAAGCTTTATTAGGTCTCTAATGCGTTTCTGCAGCTAATGCGTTTCGTGAAGATTGCAATGCTGGTTTTGGATCTTTGAACCTTCGCACCAAAAAAATTCTTTTTTCATTTCTTCTGTCCTCTCTCTCGTATTCTTTATCCCTTCTAAACCCAAATTTCAAATTCTTCTTCTCTTGAAGATTTTCAATGCACTCGGGAGGTGAAATTGAGTGGCTTTTTCCACCACACGGTAGTGATGCTGGTGTTGCTACTGCCGATGATTCTGAACTACAAACACAAGAAGAACACGTTAAATTAATAACCACAGAGATACTAAAGCAAGAAGATGCCACGGTGAAGAGTAGTTGTAGCAACAGCAGCAGCAAGGCTCGCAGTGGTATGGCCTTGTTGATGAGAAAGCTCGGAAAGAAGGCTTCTTTGAGCAAGTTACTTCGGAAAAATGTTGGATCGGAGATTAATGAGAAATTGTTGCTGCACATTCATCATAACGAAGGTGGAATGGCATCTACATCATCATCATCTACTATGACTGCTTCATCTCATCAATCTCAGATTTATAATGATGAATTGGATGGGTTAGATCAATATTTAAACACTTCCTCTCATTTGGAAGATATTCCTATGGAAGAGATTTTTATGGATGATTTTGAATTTTCAAACACATCTTCTCGATCTCAAACATCGAGTACAACAGCATCATCAACAACTAATGGCAACAAAGAATCACAACCAACATGTACAACACCCAAAACAGAAGTTATTTTGGATGATTTGAATGATCGTCACAGACAAATGATGCACATTGTGAAAGGTGTGGACGCTGTTGCTCATAATTTTAATTTAGCTCCCTCAACTCCCGATCAACGATATCTGAATCACTATATTCGTGACAATGATGATTGTAGCTCTAGCTCTGGTAAAGCCAGAACTTTAAGTGATCAAGAAAGCGATTTCAGCTCGGAACGAGGAGATTTTGAAAGTGAACAATGCTTTCAGTTCTCGAATGATCATCTTGACAATTATGTGTTTCTTCCAGATGAGCTATGCTACAAAATATTTTCCTATCTCGATTATGAATTCGTCGTTTTGACTATTTCTCGTGTAAATAGACAGTTTTTAAGCGTCAGTAATAGTGGAGGGTTTTGGATTCCTTTCATCAAATCAAGAAAATGTTCCGAATCCATTAACATTTTATCACATTATCTGTACAGCGCTCCTTCTATTCGATCCATAGCTCATCAATCCAAAACAGAAGATACCACAACTACTACCACCACAAATGAATCAATAACAGATACAACAGAACAAGATTTGACAGAAAATGCGCCAATAACATCACAAACCGACACAACCACTTCCTCTCATGTATTGAGTCATGATCCAGTCAATCACTTAACAATTTATAGAACGCTCTTCTTGAGCTTTCTTTATCACAAACGTAATTTGAAACGATGGTTCTTTATCACAGAAGCCAATTATTATTTATTGTTTGTAGCTCCATTGGCTTTGCTTACTTTCCTTTTCCTTGCCTCCTATGTATTTCCTGTGTTTCCTCAATTTTACAAGTTAAATTTATTTCAAGCCAATGCAGAAAAGTCCGTTCCTAACCCATCACTATTGACAGATAATCCACTAACTCGAAGACCTACCATTTATATAGAAGGAATAGGGGAAACATTTTCGAAATTTGCGCTTGGTCTTTTTGGACTTTGCGTTTGTTTAATTATTTGCTCGTTTTTATTAATTAAGCCCTTAACAACCAGAGTACTCAAGACCTACAGCTTGACAAATGTTCCTCCAGAGGATTGTTCTATGTTCACTAAATCCATAATATCCAAGGTCAAACAATCAGACTCTTCATCCTTAATTCGGTCACCGACTGAAGTACTTCCACTTTCACTTCGAAAGAAATTATTCAGAAATATTTTAGGCCACGAAATGCTTTGGACCCAAGAACATTTTGTGAGAAACATGATGCTACTGCCACTTTTAATTTGTATTCTGTCAGTCATGTTGAAAAATTTTATTTATATTCCAGTTATTTCAGAAAGTTATCATGTGGTCCTGAGCTCACCTGCCTATTTGATTATTTTGGTTCTCATCAAAAAACATTGGTACATGGTTTTCAAAACACAAGGATTTTTTTCCATTCTTATTTGCTATGCATGCTTCCACTTTCTAATGAATCAACTGAAGTGGGATATGTTGATCAGACCAATGTTCTATTTTCTGGGCCAAGTTGTTGGAGTGTGGGCTTACATTATTCTCAACTTTTGGGTATTGGTAAGTTTTTTACTTTTATACGTTAGTGATCATCTCAAATATGTAAACGAATAGGGAGGACCAAATAGTAGTGGTATTCCATGTGCAAATTAAGATTCATGTCAAATTCGAAGAAGTTACTTTTTCATTAATTTCTTATATCTATCTAAAAGATTTGTTTTCGGTGTCGTATCATTGGCAGAATGTTTTTCTAGAGATGTTCGTGGCTTATCATTAGATAACATTTCAAATTCTTGCTCTATATCGGCATCTAGACTATAGATCTGATCGTTTTGCACTGAACTTGTTATGTGACCACTTGAATTATTTGGCAAAAGCGTTAAAATTTGGAGCATGGCAGATTTCAGAATTGAAACTGCATCCCAGTAGGTGCTATCAAAGGGGAAAATTGTGCTGTTGTTTGCATTATGTGCAAAATCGATCATAAAGTCAAAGATAGCATAAATGGTGGGAACATTGGCTTTCACAATAATGTAAATAAAAACAGGGATAAGCTTGTGCTCAAAATCTTGGTATGGAATGTTGGTATGCTTGGTTGCAATCTCCACGACACTCGAAAAAACGTCCTTTGCGAGCTTAATTTTCTCTCCCAGTAATTGAGTCTTGTTGAACTCCTTGAGGCGAGTAATGATGGGTTGATAAAGAATTTCACAACAAAGCTGTGGATCTGTTCCCAAATCTAGAAGTGAAACTGATCGATATTGAGATAATCGTTCTTCGATTAATTTTGATTCGTTCTTGCTCATATACAATGTCATAATTTCCTTTTCAATTTTGATGAGTGTTGTTTGAAAAATTGAGCTATACAGATAGTTTCTATTCTTGGACAACACTAAAGAATGTTTCCAATAAGAATCCACTAACAGTGTTGTAAAATTTGCACAAAATTCCTTCACATACAAGACAGCAAAATCTGATGTAATGGTTGGTGTGTACTCTTCATCAAAGGAAAAATCACTTTTAAACTTGAGCGCAAATTTTTCAATGAGATTAGAAATTGGATGATCTTGAACATTTATGATATATCCAAGAATAAAGTAATAGAGATCTTGACTTTGATTGATAATATTCAATTGATTAAGCCATTTTTGTTCATAATCTTGTGCTTCTTGAGAAAGAGAAGATGCATGAAAATTGTCATGAATGAATTGCAGCCACATGGCATCATAGCCCTTACTTTCAAGAAGGGCGTTCGGTCCTACGTCTGTAAAAGATTCTACATCATTCATACCTCTACTTGAATCGTACATGTTGTTTTCAATATAATTTTCGATGACATCCACTTTCTTATGGAGCGTATTTGCAAGCTCTAATTCTCTATTATAGAAATGTGCCCTTTGTTGATCAATTTCAATAAGCTCTTTTTCTGTTTGTTCCTTCATTCTTGTTTTTTCTTGCAACTTTCTCTTCATTTTCAAATAATTCTATTGTGTGACAATTAATTCTAGATAAGAACGATTTTAAAGAAAAATCTAAAAACCTTACCTCTCCACTTTGTTGTTGTGAATGATCATTAATTCGTCTCATGAGCTCGCTTTGTTCTGCATCCAACTTCATCAATTTAGCTTTTGTTATATTAAATTGTTCGTTTAATCTTTCTATTGGCACTTGGCTGGTAGACACCCCTTCGCTTGCTTGTTGCATGTTTGCGATGGATGATGCTGAATTAGTTTCTCCTCCTAAAACCAACATACTCTTTGCATTATTTATCCAATCATAGAAAGGTTTCTTTTTCGGAGAGCTTGAAAGTGTTGTTGGAATGGAAGAATTATTTGCTATTGAATCGGGAGTGATGATGATGTTTGAATTCAATCGATGGTGTTGTAAGAGTAGTATGGTTCTCTCCGAACACTTTTCATAGATCATTTTCAACCGATCCACATAGTTGGAATTAAATAGTCCATTCAGAACATCTTTGGATTGTAGCATGCTTCCTATTAATTGGATTGCCTTTCCATAGTTTGAAAGTGCTTCATAGAGTTGATCGGAGCTTGGATTGGATGAGTTAATTTTCTCTTCATAATTTAAAGCATAATGTACTTGAGAATAAACTTGCTTAATTAACTGATCCACGGAGGGAGATGTTGACAAAAACGACGACATGTCGGAATCAATCTTTGGCTATATTGTTGATGTATATAACAATTCAAAATGACGATGATGATGATCCTTTTTTCGATTTCCACCAAACTCAAATCGGTGGTGTGTGTTGTTCGCACCAATGGATGAATTTTTTTCCAAGTCCTTTCCAATTCAAATTTGTGGGATGCTTTCGATTCATTCAATATTGTCAATAATTGGCAAATATGATTAATGGACAAATGATAGGCTTTGAATGTAATCTCAATTTTAAAACTCTCACAACATAACATGTTCATTTTGAACAACGCAGAAACCTCGACAGACGAGTCTGTCCCTCTAATTATATCGAGTGGTTCATCTCCCAAAATGCATGTCCAACTCAACTCCAAAGTTCAACACTAAAAAAATGAAACAAAAGCAAACATCAAAGGCTCACTCAGTGCCGAATTCGACAACTCTACCTTCTCCTCAAAAGAGTGCTAAGACTTCTTCTGGGAATGTTCAAAAAAGTCCAGGAAAAGTTCAGAGTAAAAAGAGTGGGTCATCATTAGGTCAAAACAAGACACAAGAGTCCACTTTGGTAAAGCCAATGAAGGAATCATCAGCCACTACTATGGTGTCTTCACCGATTCAGGAAGGGACAACCATCAACAAAGAAGAGAAACATGTACCCGATGTAAAAGAATATGCGGATGATGCACAAGATCCCATGGAAAGATCACAAGAAATTGAAGCGCTACAGTCGATTTATTGGGAAGAGTTCAAGTTATTAACATCGGATCAATTTGAAATTACAATTCGTGGAAAGTTAGACTTGACTTTTCCTTCTCCAGACACCATTTCTCAAGGACATTTCTCGGTATCGGAAATTCCATTTAAAGCGTCACATATTGGTTTGATGCTAAAACTTACTCAAGTACATGGCTACCCATCAAAAACTATTCCCAATATTGAATTATTCCCTTTATATAAGATTGATAGTATTTTAGATTTATTGAACAAATCTTCACAAGTCTATGCACAAGTCAATCTCAAAAAAGTATTGCTTGACGAAGAGCTTTCTGCTCTAAAGAAAATTCTTCAAGAAAAAGCAGAAGGAATGATAGGATCTGTTATGGCATATGCTCTTATTCAAGAAATTGACGAGTACTTAGAAAAACACAATATTGACGCAAAAGAAGCAGAGGAAGAGTTCTTGCGTGTCCAAGAAGAGAGGAAAATTGTCAAGAGTTCTGTCATTTTGCGTGTAACCAGAGATAGCGAGATTGAAAAGGAAGAAAACAAAACTTCGGTAAAAATTGATGCAAAATATGGAAAGGAAGTTGAGACTCAGGATGTTGAAAAGTTAGCTCAAATTCAAAAGAGAAAGTTCAATAGCAAATCGAATGTTAGTTTGGAAAACATACAATTTTTCGGTCTCGTTGAAGGGAGAATTACGGTCAACCATTTTGTCAACCAAGCTTCAGAGTATTCACAAATTCTTCCACATGAGAGTTATTGGTTAAATCGATACGGTCATGCATCTGCAGCACAAGATAGCTCTTTTTTTATGGCCTTTGGAGGTATTTTTAATGGTTCTTTTAGCAGAGATTTAGTTTATAGCAAAGACGACAAAGCTTTCTTGCGACTCAACAATCCTGCAGTGTTTGCAAGAATATTTCATACTTTTAACTACATGCCATCTTTGTCTTCGTATATTCTCATTGGTGGACTTGGAGAACTAGGTGAAGTTTACAATGATTGTTGGATTTATTATACAATTACATCAGGTTGGATTAATGCAAAACCTCTTCCTTACAAATGTCATATGCACACCACTAGTGTTTCTGGGAACAAAGTAGCATTATTTGGTGGATTTGATGGAGAAAATTATATTGGAACTTTAAGCGTAGGAATTTTTGATGACCCTTTTTACAACAGCATAGATAATCGTTGGAGCGTCATGAAATATCCTCATGGACCCTCTCCCAGAGCTGGATGCTCGTCTTTTATTTATGGTGATGTAGTATATATATACGGAGGAAAAGATGGTTCTACTTATTTCAATGAAATGTATACCTTCGATTTGAATATGAAATATTGGGTCAATGTTATCCAATTTGGTACCTGTCCTTCTGTTGCATTTGCAGGCAATTTTTGTACAGGAAACAATTCCAATTCCATGCTTCTTTATGGAGGATATAATGGAACAGAATGGAACAAACGATTGTATGAGTTTTCATTAAGTACTAATACTTGGTCACTTCACGTCAATAATCTCATAGATCATAGAATTGCATTTTGTAGTGTTCATGAAGTTTCTAAGGGAAAGTTAGGCATTTCTGGCGGGCTAGACAACAAAATGAAACTAAAGGGAATGAAACGTTTGGAACAAGCAATGATACAAAAAGAAATGCCAAGCCAAAATGACAGTCTACGATATTTGTCCAGTGTCACAAAATATACCATGTCAAAGTCCAACGTGGGAGAGGCATATTTTAATTGGATTACTTCACAAAAGGAAAGAGACTCTGATCTAGTCATTAGATATTTTTCAAAAGATGAAAATGGTTATCTTGAAGAACAACATATATATTGTAATCGTTTGATTCTGCAAGCCAATCCAACGTTTTGCAGAATCTTGTCAGTTCAAGCAATTCGAGACAATCAAACATTTGAACATGTGGACAAAGAGAAAACGAATGCACCTATAATTTATCCTAAAATGTATTTAGACATTCAAACACACACAGGATTCGAGGAAATTCCATTCAACATTTTGTTGGCATGCATCCAATTTTTGTATTCCAACGCATTTGAGAGTAGACTAGTGACCACGGAAAAGGATGCGCTCGATCTCTATGATTATGCCAACAAATTTAAGCTCAAGCTTTTGTGCGAGCTTCTTTGTAATTGCCCAACCTCTACCTCCTTCGAGAGTACTATTATTACAGACCTTGAAAAACTTTTGCCATCATTCCTTAAATGTTATCCAGTCTCTGTTGAGGAACAAGAATTTCTTAACACAAGAGAAGACTTTGAAATGTATAACAGTGGTGAAGATAATAAGCTTGGAGATATTGGTATTGTCAGAATTGTCGCTCCAGATTTGTATTCAAAAATTACAGTGGAGAGAGCAAGATATATTAACGCAATTAATGCTGCACAAGAAGAACCCCTTGAAGAACCTCCTCATGAAGACACTATGTTAACTCCAGAAGATCTTCTATCCGAAGAAGCCATTGATGAAGAACTTTTAACCACTCTCGATGAATATGGAGCTCACAGTGACTGGATTCATGACAAGAAAATTCAAAGTCATGGAAATGAGCAAATTGAATGGAAATGTGTTTTTGCTCACAAAGGAATTTTAACGAATCGATCGGACTTCTTTTCAAGCATGTTTGACATGAATTTTGTGGAAAATAGAAATAATGAGATTAGAATTAATGATACTTCCATTCAAACCATTGAATCCATCATTTATTGGATGTATACAGGAAAGTTTCCAAACGTGCAATCTGAAAATGCTATTGAATTATTTGTGGCATCCTGTCAATTCAACTTGGCTCCTCTCAAAGATTGGTCGAGACTGTTTATTCAAAAGTATATTGACTTTGATAATGTTACCACAATTATAGAAATGGCAGAAGTTCTTGGAGACGTCGATTTGAAAGCTTCATGTGTCTGTTTTATGGCGAATCGATTTGATATCATTTCCAAAGATCCCGGTTTTGCTCAATTACCATTCCACTTGCAATTAGAAGTTAAGTCTCTCAACAACAAGATTAAGATTAAATCCAAAAAGAAGAGATCTCAACCTCCAAGCAAACCTTTGCGATAATGTTCACGCCTATTGTCATGCATTGCCAATAAAGAAGGTTCTAAATTGGGTTCGACAGAGAGATGGAACTCTTTCGGTTCTCTTTCATCCCCAATGCACTCGAGAGATTTTCGAATTTTACAAAAAAAAATGCAAAAAACCATTTCCAAACATTCCGTCAAGTCCATCTTGGCAAAGAGTAAGTAGCAGTAACAAGCTTCCTTTCTTGTACTCAAAGAGCCTCCTTTCATTTCCAATTTATGAAACCCGAATCAATAAACTGCTGATGGTTATGTATGATATCTTTAGTTGCTTCCAATCAACAACAACGTAATTTCAAGTTGGATCTGACCGAGGTCAAAAAGCCTACTCATCTCCTTCCTGATGAGTATGATGGTATCAAATTGGTTACTCCGGAAAGACCTGGACCAAAGACTAAGGAACTCTTGGAAAGAATGAACAAGATTCAGGTACGTGATATGATGTATGGATACAAGATTATTGAGAATCCTTTTCACGTTTTCAAATTATTTGTTGAATATTTTTAATATTATAATTATTTACAATAATAATATTTAAATGATAACAACAATACTTGTATTGAATAATTCTCTTGTGATGCGTGCCATACATTCACAACATATGATTATATTAAATTAGGACATGAGAGCAGCTCACTTTGTAGCCAATTTCGAAAAGAGCAAGGGTAACTTTATTGTCGATGCCGATGATAACATCATTTTGGACACATTCACTCAAATTTCTTCAATTCCTCTTGGTTACAATCATCCATACTTGATTGAACAGTTCCACAAGGATCCAAGATATGCCACAAGCTTCTTGAATAGACCAAGTTTGGGTATTAATCCTCCTCACAATTATATTGATATTTTGGAAGAATCATTTGTAAGAATTATGCCAAAGGGTATGACTGATGTTGTGACTTTGAGTAGCGGAGCTGAAGCGTAAGTAGTCGTCATTGTGTGTTGTTCTATCAATATTTACAATGATGTGTCATGTCTACTCATGCTTTGTGAATCAATAGTAATGAAAATGCATACAAGGTTGCATTCTGTAGATACATGCAAATCAAGAGAGGAGGTAAATCTGCCTCAAAGGAAGAAATGGATTCTTGTGTTTTGAACCAAAAGCCTGGAACACCAAACTTGTCAATTTTGTCATTTAAGAATTCATTCCACGGAAGAACACTTGGTGCTCTTACTGCTACACACAGCAAGGCCATCCATAAAGTTGACTTCCCTTCATTCAATTGGCCTGTTTGCGATTTCCCACAATTAAAGTATCCATTGGAGCAATACGAAGCTGAAAACAAGAAGGAAATGGACAGAGTTTTGGAGCAAGTCGAAAAGACTATCAAACTTTCACATTCACCAAACTCACCATGGGGTGAAGTTGCTGGTTTGGTTGTTGAACCAATTCAATCTGAGGGTGGTGACAAGCATGCAATGCCATACTTCTTCAGAGAATTGAGAAGAATCACCAAGGAAAATAATGTTGCATTTATTTGTGATGAAGTTCAAACTGGTGGTGGTGCTACTGGTAAATTCTGGGCTCATCAATATTGGGATTTGGGTGAGAATGGACCTGATATTGTTTGTTTCTCAAAGAAATTGCAAGCTGCTGGTATTTTCCATCGTCCAGAATTTAAGATTGATCTTCCATACAGAATTTTCAACACATGGCTTGGAGATTACACTCGTGCTTTGCAATTGGGTGCAATTATAGATGTTATTGAACGTGACCATCTCTTGGATTTGGTCAATGAAACTGGAGCTTACATGATGAAACACTTGACTGAATTGTCAAAGAGATATCCAGGAAAGATTGACAATGTGAGAGGAGCTGGTACTTTTATTGCCTTCGAGTCGAATAAGCTACCTGAGTTGATGAAGCAAATGCTGCATAGAGGTGTTGAAGTTGGTTCGTGTGGTACAAACACTATTCGTCTCAGACCAATGTTGACTTTCCATCAATGGCATGCCAATATCTTCCTTCAAAATTTGAATGAAACTTTGGAGAAGCTCTAAATAAATAATAATTTATTATGAACAGTGGTGTGGTGGTCTTTGTTCGTTTTCAGGTGATCTGAAATGCAATCCATCGCAAATATCATCTCCTTCAGAAACCATCATGGCCACATGTTAAGCCTTTGTGTTTCTCTACCTGGGCGCACCTCACAACCAGATTAACAATGGGTTCCTCATAGAAGGATGAATGTCAACATGGCTATTCAAATTTGATTATTATAGAGAGTCTCTATCCTTTCAATACTCTTTCAATTAAGGAATCAAACATTTTATCAACATTTGATCCGTCTTTTGCACTCACTTCAAAATAAGGCATATCATATTGTTGAGCAAACTCGAGGGCTTCTTTTTCTGAAACTACTCTCTCACGCGTTAAATCCGTCTTGTTTCCAACAAGAACACTAGTCACATTAGACTGTGAGAATTTTCTAACCTCTCTTTAAGATGATGAGAAAATGTTATTAAGGTAACCAACGTTATTCAATCATACACAGGAAGATTCCAATACCTACTTGATCCATTTTTGAACATTCATTAAAGCATTTTCAACGGTCAAATCAAAAACAATCACTACTGCAGGAATTCCCCTGTAGTACGAATTGGTAATCTATCACTCAAAAGTTAATGAATGATCAATCATTCTCAATAATAAATACCTACTGTTCGGTATCTCTCTTGTCCGGCTGGAAATGAATTTAAAAAAATACAAATATGAAATACATTATAAAATTATTATTGAAATACAACATGTTTTCATCAACAATGAAAAACAATTTTCACACACATACCAGTATCCCACAGTTGTACCTCAATGGTTTGCTCTCCTTTTTGTAAATTCTTTAATTTAAAATCCACTCCTACTGTTGAAGGTATTCCTTCATCGAAAATTCCATCTGCATACTTGAGTACAATCGATGATTTTCCAGAATTGGCTTCTCCAATAATTAAAATTTTAACAATTGCATGACCTCTAATGTCACACGTATCGAAATATTTCAAATTCCAAATTTTAAAACAAGTTTGACATCCCACTCTCAAACACTTACTTTTTGGGAGATTGTGAATTGTGTTCTGCTGTTGAAGTGGGAGAATGAAGTTTCGAATTGGTGGTCAACATGATTGGTGTCAAATTCTCTTTCTGATTTGACAACACAGGACTCGAGCTATTGCAACAAGCATCGGAAGTATTAGAATAAGTCATGGAATGGACTTTTTCTTGAGTGTTAGGATTCCTTTTTCTGGGAGGTAAGCAATTCCCCATTTTTGTATAATTCCGATTGAAGGAAGTTTGAATTGGATGATGATGAAAGGATGATGAGGCTATCGATGAATGATGACACTATTGCTTGACGCTGCTGATACTACTTGTATGTTGGTTACGAATCAATACGATAAAGAGTGAGGTAGGTACGAATCCGAAGTGTTGTTTTTAATTTTTTTGGAGGCTATTTCTGTTGATGACTGACGGAAATACAAATGTAGAAAGTCTGAAAAACAATCATTAAAAAACACAAAATAGTAATCGAGTAAGTCTTTCCAAAATTTGCTTAATTATACAAATTGATATCAGAAACAGGAGGCCCATAAAAGTATCTCCAGCTGTAAGGTGCTTTCCATTCAATGCTTTCCAAATGATCCAATGGTGTTGAGCCAACGTTCATTCTTTTGAGATATGGTAACAATATCTCCCCTGTGACGGCCTTACAAAGCGAGATGCCATGTAAAGAGTTTTCTCCTTCGTTGCAAATCATAAAAACAATCACACGATTCAACTTTCTCACAGTGTCATTGCCTTGTTTTTCCTTTGCAAGTGTTTCTTCGTTTTCAAGCAACTTGGCGTTCACAGCACTGAAAAATAATGGATAAGTTGCTTTATCAATTCTTGGAATAGTGGTCAGGAAAGAGGTCAATGGGAATTGAGAATCGTTTGCCAAATTTGCATCAAATGCTAATGATGCTAATCCAAACTCAATAGGAGACTCTTGAATGCGCTGAATAAATCGATCATCTTGTAGTCCAGCATTTGCTGAGCTGAGTAAAACCAGAGTTTGTAAATTCTTCAAAAAGTATTCTCCATCATCTGTATTTCCTTTCGAAAGCCACTCATTCAAATCTCTCACAAAAAGTGTTGGGTAAATAACAATGGACCGACAATGAATCAAAATAATATTTGGTCCAACCGATTGATCGTTTTGATAAAATTGTAAAGAATAAACCTCTAATGCAGAATGAAGCTTTCCGTGATGAGAAGATTCGGAAGGAGCAAAATAGGGATCATTACCAACACAACTCAACAGGAAGCCAGTCTCTAAATAACCCAGCTTTTTAATCTTTGAAAATGATTTTTCCGAAAAACTGGAAATTATGAAATCCATGGCTAATTGTCCCACATTACCAATACTCGGAATTGAAATCATACACATCTCGGCATTTTGGAGCAAGGTTTTGATCTCGCTCTCGCTTGAGGCTTCCGATTGGGAAACACAAGGAAAGAATTTCATTTTTTTAATTATAGTTTTCAAAATTCCACAAACTGTGTTGATTCTCGTCTATTGACGACTCAATTTGGTCTTCATCTTTGATGTGTGAGTGACCATTCATGAATGGTTGAAATTAGGTTTTAAAACTGAATGATCATCACAAGCACCAAAAGTATCCCAACCTTAACCTTGAGCCTCTTCTCAATTCAATAAATTCAAAACCAAAATATGGCAATTTTTTTAATCCTTACCAAATCACTCAACTAAGTGCTCACTCCAAGTTCCCAATCTACCTACTGTGTACGTATCTGCGAATCATTGAATCGAGACCTTTGGTTTGCTCGAAGTACTCACATAACATCTTTGATTGTTTGTTCTCCTCCAGCTCCTCTCAATACACGCTCGAGGCTTCATGACTCTCAAACATTTTGCTTTGTACTTTGAAATGTGAGACAAAATCGGAGACATAAATGGGATCGCTGTTTTGAATATATGATGTTTTATAATAAATTTATTGCTTGGTTTCTTCTTCTTGTTGTTCAGCAGTTTCCTCTTGTTCACCTGCAATATTGTAGTATCTCAATTCATAGGCTCTTTGATTTTGCTTTGAAACAACATGCAACCAATCTCTCAAGTTGTTCTTCTTGAGGTATTTCTTGGTGAGGTACTTCAAGTATCTCTTAGATGTCTTAACTTCAGTGAAAACATAAAGTCTGTTCAATTTCTTGTGGAATCTGACCTTTTCCTTCAAGTTACCGGCCTTTCCATCAACCTTGAACTTTTCTCTGAAGTATTTCTCGAAGTGGTCCAAATCCATGATACCATCTTGAACTGGAACACGGGCATCAATGTGGAACTTGTAGGTGATTTGTCTGGTCTTCTTTTCACCCTTGATTCTCTTTCCAACGACTGGAGTGGCTCCCTTTCTCACCATTTCTAAACAGATTAGAAGAAAGAACAAATATTAATAAGTCGAGTCAGCGAGCGAGATGAAACTAACCTGATATATTTTGGCTATTTTTTTTCAAACGAATTTTTTTAAAATTAAAGTCAACCAAAGAATAAAGTTTACAATGGAGCATGAACATAAAAGTGAGGATTTTAGAAAGAGACCTTCTCTCTTTGGTGTCGTGTTGTTTGCCATTTCGTTTGAAAAAAGAGTTTGGTCTTTTCCATTCATTGAATACATTTGAATATATATGTTCTCAATAACTGTCGGTGGCAGAACGTACAGTTTGTGTTGACAAAGACTCGCTTGAATACACCCAAAAAATATGTTCCGACTCTCTCGCTTCTTACTTGCTCCAGTAAAAGTCAAACAAACCACAGGATTGGTCGGATTCCCTGTCCAACCAAGATGGAGGGAGATGATCTTGAAACTTTGCGATGATGGATTGAAACTATTGGATCAACATAACATTCCAAAGGGAACCTTTTTCAGAACTTCAAATGAAAATAACTTTAAATACTTTCAACAAGTAGTAAAATCAACTGATGATTATCAAGTCGTTGAAGATACATTAAATAGAGGACAAGTAGAGGAAATTATTGTTTTATTGGAGGATCAACTTGATTTAATTCCAAAGATGGCCGAGTGGAGGGCATGGGAAGTTGATGCCGATGATGTTAAATATGAAAAAGAGGATGCTGAAACTCTTGAATATGATTGTGATATACCAAAGGATCACGTACCACCAAAGATGAAATTCCTCACATGGGATGGTATCTATCAAACAGAATATACGCCAGAAGAAGTGAAACAAATGTCAGAGGCTTCTGCCGCCAAACAACAACAGCAACAATAGAAGGTATCCGAATATATTTATTTCATTATTAGATACCACCAAGGCAAAGACTTAATATTATTATTGAATTGAAATTCTACTCCGACGGTACCACCATCCACACCACCACCACATTATTTTGGATTTTTAATATTTAATACAACCTTTCTTTTCCAACATGGGATGCTTTCATGTATTAAACATGTTTTTGTCATCTTCTCCCTAACGCTTTGTTCAAGACATAAAAAAATGGTGTTTGAGAAATACGACGAGTGGAGAAACCATCCAAAACTCAATCCGATTCCAACATTTCGAAATCCTAGAAACTGGGGCCGCTTGTGGCCAGGTGCAGGATGGGGCGTTGCAGCATTTGGTGTTTTTGTTATTCTTGAAAAAGTTGGAGTGATTCCATCATCGCATGGTCATCACGATCATCATGGTGATCATGGACACAAGAAAGATCATCACTAAATTATAATTTTCGTTATTTAATTCAACAGAATAGACGGAAATTCATTATTTCAATATTACCATTAAAATATTCAAATTGGATTTATTAATAGGAAGAGCTAGTAAATTATTATTATTAATCGATTCAATTCAGTCTCGCACAATCTTCCGAGATATGGATTACCAAATTTTTGTTATTCACTTGCAAGAATTTATTTCTAATTCAACCAACAGTAGAACGTTTCGTTCAAATCTCATCCATCATCACAATGTTTTGTGCAACCCTTCACAATAATTGTGCAATTCATCGCTCAAACATCACTGAAGGTATTGACCATTCGTTCCTTCCAACGCACTCCAATTAGGCCTAACATTCGAAAGCATTCTAAGATTACACCCTTCAACAATGCATTGCTGGTTGTAGAGGATCAAACTCTTCCTTTTCCCAGCTCTTCATCCTAAGAGTGTGTTCATGAGACATTTATCATTAAGATCAAACTGTCCACCTCTCTCATGTCAGGGATATGTGAAAAGGTAAAGATGTTCTGTGAATGCCATTCAATTCTTTCATCATCAAGTCTTCTTCTATATCATTACTGTTCGGACAGGTCTTTTTTGATGAAGAAGAGGGTTCTAACATTCTTCAAGTTCTAAAGCACTTTAAAATCCCTCCAAAAAACTGTTACGAAAACCATCATTCTCAAAAAAAAAAATGTGTCCTTCCAACACCACCACTTCTCTTCCTTTATATCCAAATCCGAACCTTCTCCTTCTGAATATGGAAGAGAGCTTGTAAATGCCTTTTTGAGGGCATTTCCTCAAGATGAACTCTGTTTTAAAACTGCTTTTCAGACTTGTCATAGAAAGTGCAGACCTACTTCCAGCAGATACTTTTATTACCTTTGCATTGCTGATGAAAAAAGTTTTGAAGATGAACACAAATTAAAGTCTCACTTGTTTCCAGAGTCATGGAAGCAGTTGAGAAACTGCTGGTTGGATAGTGTGATTGAAAAACAGTTGAAGATTCATAACCGAAAAGAACGAAATTCAAAATCCACTCTAAAGAAAGATAGTAATTATTATTTTCGCCTCTTTGAAGAACGTTTGGCATGGATACCAACTCTGTATAAGGAAACTCTTGGACTTGCTTTTAAGATGAACTCAAAGGTGGAAATATCTTGTGTGAACTGTGAATTCTATCCAACTTTTTTTCACGACATTTGGTTGTGATGGTTGTGCCCAACATTAAGAACAACATTCAAGCCATGCAACAAATGGTATATTCCTTGTGTTTATCATAAGAAACTAACTATGCTGACGGAGTGTTGATTATCCTCAGAAACTACATGTCATACTCTTGGAGTGTTGATGGATGAAGAGGACATTTTTGTGTTAACGTGTAATTGTGAACGAGCAATTGAATGATTGGAAGAAGAGTTTGTAGAGGAGTTGATGTCATGTTGAGCAAGTGTGGAATGGATCTCGAGTTTCGCGGTCAACCATTGCATCACTGCCACGGTTGGGTTCGTACGAGAAAACCATAAACATTTAAATCATCAACCTGACGTTTCACCGAATGTTTTAGTTTATGGAAAGGACATTCCAACCACAATTTTTACATCTATAAACTTGTCTTTACACTTGCTCAAAAGAAAACGAAACAACCACTCTCTCTTGTCCACATTGACCATTTTTGAGAAACGATCAACATTGACCCATCGTTCCTCCCAACAACGACAACAATCGATTGTTCCAATTGGACCTATCACTCGCAAGTATTCCAAAGGAAGGAATTCCATCAATAACTTGCATGCTAAATTCATCGTTTCGCAAAAATGCCGACATGCACGATCGCAAGGATGATTCGAATCATGGTCGTCGTCGTCCTTGTCCTCCTCTTTCTTTGAATCTTGTTGTGAAAGAAACTCCAATTCAAATCCTCTCAAAAAATTCATCAACATTTCTTCCTCTGCTGTGAATTGAACCATTCCTGAAAGGGAGACATGTGTTTCGTAAATGTTTTTTGCGTGGTTCAATAACTTGATGAAAATATTTCTCACAACATCCACCTCTGGTCTTATGGAATTCAATGGATTCCAACAATAATTCATTTCGTCATGTGTTTCTGATGATGATGGAACACTTGGATATCGAAATCGACAGAATTCCACTGCAATGGGAGGATCGATCTGTTTCATTTTCAAATATCGATCCAATGCAATGGTACAATCTGCCAATCCATTCAAAATATCGATAAATTTGTGAGTGTGATCGTCATTTGGATTTTCAATGACTGAAAGAGCCGAAATGGAACCTTTTTTACCTTTCATCATTCCACACTTTTCAAATAAGGTAGAACATTTCGTTCGAAGAGAACCAACATGATAGAAATCGTATAAAGAAAAAAAGGGTTCCATTCCATACCATACCAACAAGACATTTCGACCACAATGAAATGCCAAAAATTCACAAATGGACATTGCTATAAAAGGTAATGCATCATTCATGTCATGCAACGTTGATTTCGTCCATATTAAGGATGTGGAATTAGGAGTGTTGGATGGAATATCATTGTTGCGGTGATGAAGGTATGTTGAATTTTTGCATGTATGGCAATTACACAAATATACACTTCGATGGGATAATGAATTCGCGAAAAAAGTTTTAAATTTTTGACAATCGCTCGGAAAAAAAGTTTGCATGCAACACACAACGATCAATTCCTGATTTGGTGTGGAATCGAAAAAATTCTCATTTTCATGTTGAAAATTCTTTGAACCAATCTCACCATGTGAATCATCAGAAGCACGTGTAGTGGGTGGTGAATAAATTTTTGCTTGTTCACAAATTTTCATGACCAATGACGCGTGAGATAATTGTTTGGCTGTTGAAATGCAAGCATGTTGACCCACGTAGAAAGTACTAAATAAATCGATGGAAGAAATGCCAGTGAGGATGACCTTATTGGATCGAACTCGTGCGAAGGGGTTGTAACACGAATGAAACACTTCGATCGATGAATGACAAGTGACAGTTTTGATGTGACTCGGGTTGAGATCGGAAAATAAGGGATGCAAAAATAAATCGCTCAAATTTCCTGAGCTTAAGCCACCTGTCGAGAATGAATGACTTTCCATATCACGACAGCAAAAACTTTTGCCAATGAAATCCTCTTCATGACAAGCTGTCAATTTGAGAGTGTCGTGACATCTTTCCACATAAAGTAAATTGTTCTCTGTCAGAGAAGAGGAATGAAATCTACAATTCCGTAAATATAATAGTAATGGTTCTTTCTGTCTATTTTCAAACATTAAACTTTCAATGTGTGAACGGTTGTGATTGTAAAAAAAGAGAGGAATGAATTGTTGAGATTGAAACCAATTCGAGACACGACATGTCATGAATGGAAATCCTTGATCGTAGTCGTTGCGTGAAGTGAATACTTTGACAATTTCTTCGGAGATGAAAGGAAATTTGTTTGCTTCATGATGATGATGGTCCAGAACATTTGATGTCGACGACATGTTTCAAGTTCAGAATTCAATAAATTTTTTTTCTATGAATTTCAAATTATTTTTACTTTTAATTTAATAAAAAAAATTTCATGAAATGTGGTCAACAAGCATGGCAAGTTGATCAAATGAAGAAACATGAGTTTTATTCCTCTTTTTACTCATCTTCAAAAACGAATTCATCTTCTCCATCTTCCAAATCCAGTTTTCTCTTTTTGGGTGGTGCTTCTGTAGTGACATTGGTCGTTGTGGATTCTTCCTCCTCTGATTTTGCGTCATCTTCCATATCGTCACTTTCATTGTCGCTGTTGTTCTGATCTTCAGAGGTTATCATAGTTTTTCCTTCAGTGTCCAATGTAATCTTAATGAATGGAATTTTGATCGTTTCATTGTCAAGTACAGCCGAAAGAACAGGATCCTTTTCTTTGGCCACAGTAATGTCATTTTCTTCTGGCTTGTATGTTGTGAAGTTGGTATCAGAATCATATTTAAACAGCTCTTTCAACATTGAGGTGGAAAATTGAGATTTTGTGGACTTCTCATCGAGTGTGGATTTAGAAAGTCCCGTTTTTACAATTTGTCTTTGGAATATTTTCTCCTCAATTGTACCACAACCAATCAATCGGTAAATGAACACGTTTTTCTTTTGGCCATCTCTCCAAACACGAGCCATAGCTTGTTCATCATTACTTGGATTCCAGTCAGGATCTAACATGATTAAACGATTGGCTATAATTCCGGTGTAAATTCAATCGTCAAACAAGATCATGTCAGAGAAACATACCTCCTATCAAGTTCAATCCACATCCACCTGCCTTGGATGATAATAGAAAAATGAAGTCCTTCGATTTTGGAGAATTGAAGGCATTAACAATTTGCATTCTCTTGTCAGATGAAGTTGAGCCATCCAATCTAGACCAAGTGTATTCCCTGTGCTTGCATAACTTTTCAACTTCGTTTAAAATCTAATTTGGATTCGATCATGGTCTCATGTGAAGTAATGTTCAAATAGAAAGAAACACTTACACATTTAAAATTGGAAACAATGACAACCCTATCACCAGTCTCTTGGATTTCTTTTAGCAGGCAATCCAGAATGGTGAGTTTTGCAGAATATTCCTCCTTGTACTCAGAGCCACTTGGATTAAAATCTTTGGGAAAGAGCTTTTCAGATTGAGACCAAATATCATCAAAGAGCTGAGTGTTATCTTCATCCTCCTCCTCGTTTTCGTCTTTTTCTGGATAAATCATATTTGGATGAGTTAAAAGCTTTTTAAGACTAAGAATACAAGCAAGTGCGTTGTTGGAGTCCATTGTTCCATTGATGAATCCTCTCAGTGTTTTGGACAACACGAAATGTTTGTAAAGATTCTCTTGAAGCTCAGTCATGCCACAAAATATTACAATTTCCACTATATTTGCAAAGTAATCACGATAATGGTAATAATATGTTAAAACTTACTTTTTGGAGGTAAATGTTCTCTCAATAACATATTAGTTCTTCTCAACACGAATTGAGAAACCATCTTGTTCAACTCTTTAGACCGATTTTCACCAAGAATTTTGTCTTGTTTCTTTGCATTGGGTTCCTGACCTCTCTTGATTGGCTCTGTGAACAAATTTTTGAAAGATGTTGCATCTCCCAATAATCCAGGATTAATAAAATCGCAAATGGTAAAGAATTCATTCAAATCATTTTGAAGAGGGGTTCCACTCAGTACAATCCTTCTTGGCGTGTTGAGCTTTTTCAAGGTTTGGAAAATCTTAATGTTGGCATTCTTCAGTTTGTGGCCTTCATCACAAATTAACAGATCACATTGACACTCTTGCAACTCATCCACATAATTTGTGCAAAGATTGTACGAGATAATTAGTACTTGGTGAAATCCTGCCTTAAATATTTTTAAAGTTTCAGATGGTGATTGTTTTGCAGTCTTTGTGGTGACTGTGAGGACTTTGATCTTGTCTTCACCAATCCATTTATCGAACTCATATGTCCAATTTTTCACCAATGAGGAGTTGGTCACGACAATGGCCTTCTTAATCACTGGTTTACCATAAGGTCCTCTTCTCAAGAGTGTATAGATCAGTGCTATTGACTGCAATGTTTTACCTAAACCCATTTCGTCGGCCAACAACATTCCTCTGCCAGCAAAATCTTTCATACCCATTACGCATTCATACATAAATTTAACGCCTTCCACTTGGTGCGGTCTCAAGTTTTCTCCAATAAAACTATCAATATAGACATCAGAAATTTTTGTTCCTGATTTATCTTTCTCAGGATGACCCTCATTCAAAATATAAGTTCCTTCAGGTGCTTTAATAACCTCCACTTCATTATTGTTATATCCTAGACCTGCAGTCTTGGTCGTATTGTGAGGTTTGAATTTAGTTGTAGCAGTTTTTGATATCAAGGATGTTGATGTTTTGCTTGTCAAGTTTGAGTTGTATTGTAGAAAAATTCTTCCACTAACGTAGTCTTCCATTTTGATTTTGTTCATGAATTCACATAATTTTCCACCCAATACCATCTGGTCTCCTTCTCGAAAAGTTCTTTGATGTTCACAGATTTGATATGGCCATCTATAACCCATGAAAATTCATCATTTCATAAAACTTACTCAACTTTTGAAACAGGTTTGGCGATTAATTGTTTTCCATTTGAATCAAACAAAGTGTATCTCTTATTCTTAATGAGCAATATTCCATCATCAAAGGTTTTGTGTTTCTTATTAGTGTTCTTGGTATGCATGACTGTCCAAACCTCTCCTTCATCATCATCATTACTTGCAGAATTATTTATTTCCTCTATTGGCTTTGTTCGAGTGGGAGGAACAAACTTCTTCTTGATTGCATTGGAACCCGATGATGAGGAAGAAGGAGCGGATGACTTCACGGCTGAATTCGAACAAGAGTTCTGTTGATCCTGACTGCCATTGGAATTTTGCGAAGCAGCAGGATTGGAACCACTTGATGATGAAGTGGTTGTTGTTGTTTTTACGTTTTTGGAACTTGTTGAAGAGGCTTTATCGGTCGTATCAGCAGAAGAAGAAGAAGGCTTTACTGATGGTGGTGGATTCTTGAAGGGGGTAACGAATTTTCGTTTCATTTTTTTCTTCTAAATTTTAGAACTTTTCTTTGGTTGCCAATCGCAATCACTCGCTTCTCACAATTCCATGACAAGGGTTCTTTTGGAAGGCCTCCCAACTCTTTCTCCACACAATGCTCCAAATAAGACTCAGGAATGGACATGAACATGGATGGAGTCTCTCCCATTGAATTCTCTGCTTGCATCAAAGAAGGTGATTTACGAATAAGTGCCAATAGGAGAGATCCACTCATTGATGGTGATTTCACAGACTGAGCAAACAAGTGAAGAATATTGTCGCCATTTTCATTCACTCCAAGACGATCAAATTGTTCTTGACTCATTCTTTCAACAACACGTTGTAATAAAAATCCTCCATAAGAGTTGTTGCAATATTGGAATAATAATCCAAGAAGTGGAATGTGAAATGTGGAGGCTTCTTCATCGTTGTTCATGGTCGATGGTGCAGATTTGTGAAAGCATTTGACAGGCATCGTGAGAACGGTCATTAATAATTCTTCCTTTTTCAGTAAATAATAAGAGAGAATGGCGTCAAGAACTCGTGTTCGACGCTGTAAACAACAATGTACCATCAGAGAGTATAAATGATTTTTCAAGTTCTGGTATTTTCAATAATCTTCCTTCTTGATACTCATTACACAAATAAACAACCTATTGTGCAATACATTGTTCGTGCAAGGAATTAGAGCTCACATCGAACAAGTCTAAATCTTGACAAGGATATTTCAAATCCTTAATCAAGTAGGACATGAATAATCTCGTTTTTCAATGTCCACTTCACTCGATTGTTTTACAATTTCTCTCAACAACAACTCATAGGTTCTAAATTTGAATTCACGCATTTGAGTTTAGGAGATTTCGTCAATGAGTTTCATGGCGATTCGTGAGTCCAAACTCAACAACAGGTCAATGATATGGCTTGCCTCTTTTCATATTTTGATTGTGTACTCGATGATTGGGTAGTGGTTGTGGCAGTTGCAGTGGTGATATTAGTGGCAGATGCAAGATTCATTGGAGTCGAAAATCCTCCAAAAAAGCCAAAAGCAGCCTGTTCGTGACATGCATAACATGTGACTTTCTCGACGTTTGGAAGATTCAAAAGATGGTCCGTACTTCTTGGATTGATCAATTCTACTCTTTTCACGCTCTCATTTGAAAATGAAACAAAGCCTTTCGAGGTCCACACGACTGCATGATTCAATGCTTTCAAACAACGGTTCTTTTTTCTGAAGAAGAATTGGATTTTTCTCGATGAGGTGTAAATGGAGTATTGTGCAACTTGTCTCCAAAACTAAATCCTGCTTTGGGTTTCATTTCATAATGAGGATGCAAATACTAATACTAACAATCACCAACCACAAGAGATGGTGGTCGACTCTGCCCAAATGTCAAATGACAATGATGAGGATCACGAGATTGGACACAAAGAGAAACTACATGTGAATCCACCTTCTCTTTCGGTCTTACTCCATCTGCTGCTACTACCAAATGAAAAACCAGAGGGAACAGAACGATTCAAAGATGATGAGAACAATCTTGATGGAGTAGCAGAAGTAGTAGTAGTGTTTGTCGATTCTATTGTTGGTTCTTCTTCCACGGCAGCAACATCTTCAGACTTGGAATCTTGAGTGGTATCATTGGTGGTGTTTGTGAATGAAACAACAACAGAAGAAGAAGAATGACTTTCACTACTACCAAATGAGAAAATATTTTCAGACAGGTCATGATTCAATGACGAATAATTTCTGTTCTCCCATTTCGATGGAAATATGAACTGCAACAACATGTATGGGTTTGCATATCCATCAAACTCATTATTATTTAGAACCAAATGTTGCGTATCTTCATACAAGTAAATACTATCTGTGAAAAGTCGATGGTTATTTTCTTTGAATAATCGTTGCATTCTTAAAAACGTTGCAAAATAAGTTATCACTCTTCCATTCAATGAAAATAATGACAATTCTTTAGTTTGTAAAATTCTTCGAGATCATGATATTTGATGGTTCGAAGATAGTGGGCATAATAATTTTCATCATGTTCATTATTGAACAAAGACCATCGAGAATAAGTTGGAATAAACTCTAAAATGTCATATTTGGAATTATCATCGAGTCGTTGACGGATCAAGGAAAAGAGCATCTCTTCACGATCATCATTGACAAGTGATTCTTTTGCATGACGACGATCAGAGGTGATCCATTGTTTGACCAATGCAGAGACATTGGGATATTGAAGTTCAATTGAATCTCTTTCCGAAGAAGGAGGAGGAAGAGGACTTCCAATGGAACTTTGAAAAGAGTCATCATCATTCAATTCCTTGTCATCCTCCTCTTCATTCATCATCACGGAGAATGAAGCATGCTGTGTCATGTTCCATTGATGCTTCAAAATAAGAAGCGAGATCCAGATCGGCAATGTCTTTTATCATTGAGCAGTGGTGAGTGGAGCTGGAAAACTTTTTTTTTGAAGAAAAGTGGGGAGTTGAGATGTTGAGATGGAATCAGAAGAGTTCCATTTCAGAGAATTCTGGAATTTTTGGGTGCACCCATTCGAGTGAAGTTCATTACATCTGGTTCTCGTAGAGACGAGTTGAATTTTTTCGCCGTTCAAGTTCACCAAAGAACGAGTGTGCTGCCAATTCACACCGTCCTATCACTTAACCTGATAATAGGTTAATTTTGTTGTCCCAATATTTATTGTCGAGAGTTGAGAAAGGTTGACAGGACAGCTCTTTTTTGATTTCCAAATCTTTTCCCAATCTTTGAAAGTTAGGTGAAAAGTTCACTTATGTTTACCTATTCTTGCGGATGTTGAAGTTGTTGTGGAGGTGAAGAATGGCACAGATCACAGATTTTACTTCATCAAAAGTGGAATATTCAGGTTTTAAAGTCAATTTTATTATTTTGGAAATTAAAAAATGTCTCAACGTCGATTATTGTTAAATTCCTCGATGTCCTCCGAGCGTTCTTTGCATCATCACGGATCGAATCTTTCTCACCTGATCCATTCATCCTCATCACCAGTAATCAATTACAGATCAACCCACACCAATCCGAGCTTGTTTGAAAGATGTCTTGAAAATCCATTTGTTAATTCATCGTTGCAATTGGAAGCCTCTCATTCGCAAAAATCCAAAAACCAAATACTGTTAGAATTGATTGAATGGAATAGAGGAGAATTTATTTCATGTATTAAGGCATGGGTGGATGTCATTGTAAAAACGCAAATTGATGAGCCTTATCAAGCCCTGATGGAATCATCATCAAAACATGGAGGAAGAGCGACTGCTTTGAAAATCACTGCACATGATCTGGATCCCTATACGGGCATATCAGGAGTGTTGTACATGCTCATTTACTTGTATATCAAAGCCAATAGTCAATGCACTTGGACCTCGCCTCCTCCATCCGAATGTTCATCACAGGGAGCATCTGTTGAAACTCCAACTAGAGTCGAAAATAGAGAAGAATGCAGTGAAATTAGTGAAGCGAATATTCCATCTCCTTCACCTCAAAATCTGAATGTCAATTTGTTTTCTCTACAATATTTGAAAGAAAAGATTGAACATTGTGTGAAAATTATTGAATTAGTCATTAAGGGAAGTACCATACAATTGGACAATGGAGATATCAGCATGATTGGAGGAATGATGGGATGTTTTACATTGTGTGCTGTTGCATATGATATTCTTGGAGATAGGAATAATAGTGAGATGAACATGGCACGCATTGAACACTATATTTCAAAATTGTGTTTGGTGAATGTTAGCAATAATCAATCCAAACCAATATCGAACGAATGGCTTTTTGGAAGAATTGGTTATGTGTACGGAAGGGCCTTTCTTCGTGCATACAAGGCATGGAATGAAAATTGGATTGCTGGAATCTCTTCGCCGAGTCATGAAAGCCCCTTTGAAAATGATTCAGAAATTACTCAAGTTGTGAATGAAATTCTCAAAGACGGCTCTTCTCATCACAAGAATTCATACATGTGGGAATGGCATGACGAAAAGTATCTAGGAAGCGTACATGGTGTGGTAAGTTCAGTTTTTATGATTGGAAAGAACTGATTTTGGAATTAATTCACAATAATTCTGTGTGTTTAATATTTTGGCATGAATTTATGTGTTTATTTCTGCATTAATTGATTAGGCTGGAATCACCACCATACTATTGGACATTCCCAAAGTTAGGAAAAATCAGGAAGTATACAGCAAGATATTGAATACTATTAATTCAATCATGAGTATGCAATATCCTGATGGAAATTTTCCTTCTTCATTGGGAAGTAAAACGTCACGATTATTACAACTATGTCATGGAGCGACTGGATATGTTGGCTTGCTTCTAAAATTATATGGACTTACAGGTGACAGTACGTATGTGGACTCGGCTAAAAAATCTTGCCATTGCTTGTGGATTTATGGACTTCTCAAGAAAGGGCTTGGTCTTTGTCATGGAATCTTTGGAAATTTATTTCCATTTCTTCAAATGTATACAACACTTCAAGATGAAGAATACTTGTATAAGGCCATTCGATTTGCTCAATTTGGTTGTGAAAATCAGAGTTCACTGATATCCACTCCAGATCATCCTTTCTCATTGTTTGAAGGAATTGCTGGATCTGTGATTGTTTTGGACGGACTTTTGAGATGTATGGATTGCTATCAATGTGGTGCATCTCCTAGTCCCACTTCCATTCACATGCCAGGGTTTGACCTCAACCTTTTCATGAATTAGGACGATGAATAAACATCACCAAGCTTTGTTGGGATGAAGGGATGAAATCACTCGAAGTCCGAAATGGAAATGTCTGAATTGCAACAATTTTGAGTATTGAAATGAATGAATTTAAGTACTTGAATGGCTACGGCCATATCACGATGAATGCACCTCATCCCGTCCGATTTGAGAAGTTAAGCATCGTCGAGCTGCATCAGTACTGAGGTTGGAGACAACTTGGGAACCTGCAGTGCTGTAGCCTTTTTTCATTCAATCATTTTTGTCATTTATATGGACTCCCTACCCCGAATCGGAAAGCAAAAATTGGATGAACATGCTGAAACCTTTTTTGAGGGAAAGGAAAGTTTGATCTCAAATAGACATCTAGTTGTTATGGATTGTTCAAGCTTTTTTCTTTATTGATTGGCAACGACGTCGTAGTGGGTCAAATAATGTCAACATTTTCATAATTGCTGCGAATTCAAAAGGATGATAGAGATATCGTTGAGTTGAGGTTTGGGAGAGACACCATCATATTCACGATCATTTGGGAAATCAATTAGTTTTAACAAATTGTTCCTCATTTCATTTTCTTCTATGGTCATAATTTCCCATTGATCCCTCACAAATTGTTTTGCTTCAATCACTTGTTCATCATTCATATCACAAGGAAAACCACGTTTTACAATAGTGAATTCTTTTTCATCATGACGAGAATGATTTCTGTCAGATTGATTGAAAGTATTTTCTACAATGTCCTTTCCTACTTTCGCACCTCGTTTCAATAAATATCGAACAATTTCAAGATTTTTCTCATGAGCAGCAGCTCCTAACGCGCTCGAATAACCTAAGCTTCCAGAAACTTCATCAAGATTCACTCCACATTCATCCACTAAATATTTCACAATTTCAAATTGATTATTTGTGGCAGCTATCCACAATGGAAAATAATAAGGATCTTGTATTGGATCCCTTACCAACAATTCTGAGCATTCTCGGTGTGCAAAAATTGGGTCTAATTCGACAAATAGTTTCACAAGTTCTAAATGGCCGTTTTTAACACAAGCACAAAAAGGAGATTCTTGAATTCCATATTTGCCTTCAGAAAGGCCAAGGTAAGTATTCAATTCAGGCTTATCCAAAATGTATTTAACAATTTCCAAGTTGCATCCAATTTCACACACATGATAAAGAAGAGTTTTCCAATAGAAAAATTTCATTGTGCATTTGTGTTGATAATTAAGGAATGTTTCAAGAGAAAATTGTGATTTCTGCAATGTATCGATTAATAATTGAACAATTTCCAAATTTTGCGTTTCACATGCTGTCCACAATAATGGTACTTCCGTTTGGAATTCATAGTTATTCTTCTTGTGTGTTTGAGAAACAATTTCTGGCATTACAATTAATTCCCAATTCATATTGGATGGGTTGGAAATCAATTCCGAAAGATATTCTTGAATGACATGAACATTTTGATTTTTAATGTGGTGGATTAAATTCGTGCGAATTGTACGGATTTCGTCTGTCATGATCGTTTTCATTTTTCTTTTTTATTGATTTATTAATAATTATTCATCTTGGATTCAAGAAGAGATTGTAAAGTTTTTCTTTAATGATCAATATTGTAAACACCATTTTTCTTGGAACTGTATTGAATTTAATAAAGGATTCTAATAGATTTTGGATTTTTCAAGAATTCCATCCTCATTTCTTCCTTCATTGACTCTTTCGAATCCTTCATTTCTTCCTTTATTTCCTTAATTTCCTCCGTTTGTTTCTTTTGTACATCCATAAGGTTCGCAATCAGTTGTCTATGAAGATGGAGCTCGCCTGAAAACATTTTAACCAAAGAAGAAGAGGTAGAAATTTCAAGAGCTGCTTTTGACGCAGAGTCTCCAATATCTTCTGATTTCTGTTCGGAAAGATGACTTCTTCTTCCTGCCGCCTTCACAGATCGAACTGTTCATGAAGAGGATGATCTGGATGGCCTTCCGCTGATTCTGAGTGGAAGCAGTTCCTACCACTTCTAAAGATGAGTATTCTATTTGTGATCCGATTGCACCCTCATCTCTGCCACAATCAATTAAAGAGAACATTCTTTTCACTTCCTTCACTTTTGGATCGTCCTCAACGCTTTGATCCTCAAAACGAAATTTTTCAGAATTTGTGTCTGACGAGGATTGAGATTTTGGAAATTCATCCTAGTTCTCTCTTTCAATTTCAAATTTAGGTTCATGTTTGAAATGATGAAGATTTGATTCATAACGGGCTTTAAACTCTGGCCCAATACGTTCAACAAATGGTTGGCGTTCCATTAATTTTTCTTGCATGTCCTTGTCTTTCGTGTTGTGTTTGTTTTTCAATTCAAGTGTCGTTTGATTTTCAATTCAAGTGTCGTTTGAAGTTCTAACTACATAATTGTCTTTTCATTTTCATCTTGAGGGTAGCAAAAAAGTTTCACCTTGATCGCTGTGCCTAGTTGTTTGCTAGTCGTTTGAGATGAGTGATCTTTTAGAAAGTTTTTTCAATGAAAACTGATTGGTGGTCCATTCTCTTCATTTCCAACCCCTCATAACATTAGCAACTCTTAGAGAGGTGAAAAAAGGCTACAGCACTGCAGGTTCCCAAGTTGTCTCCAACCTCAGTACTGATGCAGCTCGACGATGCTTAACTTCTCAAATCGGACGGGATGAGGTGCATTCATCGTGATATGGCCGTAGCCATTCAAGAACTTAAATTCATTCATTTCAATTCTCAAAATATCTTCAAAGGAACATCCAATGGACCTTGAATGAAGGCCATGTAATACACTCCACTGCACACATATCGGTCCAAGTAAAAACAAAGTTTTTTCATCTTGCAGAAAACATGAAGTTCAAATAAAAATTTGAAAAACAATTCATCAAAAAAATATCCCCATCATCATCATGATTCGAAAAAAGGCAAAGAGAAAGGCAACCAAATTGTTGGAAGAACGAAAACCAAAAGTCATTGAAGATCCAAAGAAATCTCTCATTCTATCGGGACGGAAAGTGAACAAAGAATTAAAGACTCTCCTTCAGGATTTGCACCGACTGCGTTCTCCCTTCTCCATCAATTTTACTCAACAATTACATGATTTGTTGCCCTTTGAAGAAATACAACCTTTAGAGAAATACGTTAAAAGTGAAGATACATCATTGTTTTTAATTGGTTCTCATACAAAGAAGAGACCAAATAATATTGTTTTGGGACGATGTTTTGATCATCAGATATTAGATATGGTTGAGTTCGGAGTTAGTGATTTAAAGCAAATGGAATCAAAAGCAAGCCTTTTAAATGTATTTGGAAGCAAACCATGTATTATCTTTAAAGGAGATGAATTTAAAAACAATCCAGAATTTGAATCACTAAGGTCATTGTTTATTGACTTTTTCAGAATGGAGGACACACCTGAAGTGAATCTTTTAGGTCTAGATCATGTTATTTCTATTACAAGTCTCGATAATAATACTTTGGCATTTAATCATTACAAGATTAATTTTGAAAAGAGTGGACAAAAGACACCTCATGTCGAGTTGGTCGATATTGGACCCTCCATGAAACTTCAAATACGAAGAAAGAGATGGGCCTCTGATGACATGAAAAAGAATGCAATGAAGATTCCTGATGTTTTGAAGAAGAGTAAGGAGCGTCTGAAGAATGTATTCAGGGATGAATTGGGCAATATCCAAGCAAAGATTCACGTCAAACAGCAAGATATCAGCACTATTGGTACAAAACGATACAAGGCAATGCGTAAAGGAGTTGCAGAGGAAACTGAAAAGAAGGTCGATATGATGGAGCAATTGAACAAGTTTTTGCATGGAAAGAGAAAGTACAAAGCAGGAACTGATGGCTCTTCATCCAGTGGCGAGAATGGAGATGCTGCCTCAAATGGTGCTTCATCGTCAGCAACCTCAGAACCATCAAAGAAGAAAGTTAAAAAGTAAAGATCTTGTTCTTTCTTTTAATGAAAAAGTTTACAGTATGACTTTTTGGACGAATTCTTTGGTGAGTTTTTGACAATTTAACATAATAACATCAGAAAGCCGTTGTTGACAATAAATTATGTTTTACTGGGAGGGTTCAAATTAAGTACAAGGAGCAAGTACTGTCTGTGATGTATCTTTGAAGTGAATGATGATGGGTGGAGTGTCAATCCATTCGAAGTAGTACAAAATTGGCTTGCTGCGATCAGAATAACCATAAATCTCACAACCATCCAAAATATAAATAATAACATCAAACACAAATCATAGACAGTACTATATATGATTCTCTTGAGTGTCAGCTCATGATAATTTAGTTGATAAAAGTCTTTCCGAGGAATCTACGTTTGCTGAATTGCATCCAATACTTATCAGGGCCTGAATCGTTGGTGAACAACAAAGCAGCCAAACGCAAACCTAATTCTTCCTTTGCTTGTCTCATGTAAGCTTGCCACTTCTTCTTATCTTCGCTGTCTCTTGGCTTTTCATAGAAAGCAGAAAGTTCGAAGGATGAGTCTCCAGGACCTGGAAGTTCAGTTTCACACAATTGGAAGAAGAGTTTATCGGCATCCATCTTCTTTGCTGTCTTTTTGTTTTCCACGTTTTTCAAAAGGTAGTGTGTGTACAATGTGAGATAGATGAGAGTACGATCGGCAGGACTCTCCACTTGGAATGTTCTGAACAACATATTTGCCTTGAAATACTTCAAGACTTCATCAATAATGTCTTCCTTCTTATCATCAAGTTCCTTTGGTGCTGGTCCCTTGACTTTGGTTTTGAGTGGAAGGAAGGCTGTACCGCAAACAACCTCACATTTGGCATCCTTGAATGAACTATGGTAAGCTGGCATGATGAATGGAGTCTTTGTGTTGAAATGTAAATTTGTTGATGATGAGTAAATAAAGGCTCTCGGTGATGATGATCAGTACGGACGTGTGTGCTGAGTCTCAAAAAAAATTCTTCCTCTCGTTCAGCCGGAGTGATTTGGCAATATTTTTTTTATGATGATGAGTTTTCTGTGATGATGCTTGAAAAGTGAAGGCAAAATTTGATCCGAGTGGATATGAATAATTCTTGTTAGCGATGTGATTATCTGCAAGTGAAGTCTTCTTAAATTGTTGTGATTTTCTTAGGTGGTAGAAATTGCTACAGGAAGAAGAAGAAGGCTTTAAAAAAACCAGAATGCTCAGGAACAAGGAACCATTGCTTCTGATATTTATTTATTGCTTTTGGAAAGGTGAGAAAGATGAAAGAATTGTATTTCAATAGCGAGTTGAATGAATCGTTTTGAGAAGTTGGTCAAAGATATCTTTGACAAAAACACTCAATGGCCATACATCCACTGTACAAGGAGTTTTAAGTTGGTTGGGTTGACCTTGTGGTGTTTGATTTAGTTTAATTCGTTGAGGATTTTACAATCCTACAACGTCTCTTGAAAATATCATAATCAACGACCATCCATTCATTCATTGAACACCACAATGCATGTGTGTGATTGGGGTTAAATTTATCACTCTATGGGTTCTTCTCTCAGAATTCTCTCGAGTGTGAACACCATTTGTAGGTTTTTGAGAGGTTAATTCTTCTTTCTCAATTCTTCTCACTTTCTCAATTTCCCAAACAAGACACCCTTCTCCAATCACTCCTTCGAGCAGCTTCATCAGCAGAACAGAGAGAGCACAACAAACAGCAGAATCAATGAAGGACCAACCCAAAAAAAACAAATCATATCCTATCGGTTGAACCCAACAACAACAACTGGAGTGCGGTACTACCAACCCCTGTTCTCCTCACTCTCTACTATACCATCAGAAGAGAGAACGAGTTCCCATTCTCATCCATCATACACGATAAACGTGTTCCTCCTCTTCACGAAGAGCGCTCAATCAATCCAGCCGAAGAGGTAGTGTTGCGTTGTCCTCTCTCTCATTATTCCCAACAAGACTATTTCGGTGGGAATAAAGGATTCAACACCGACCGATCATAGTGTAATAACCACTCGCGTTAGAGCTGCTGCTGGTACTGCACATTTGCATACAAACTACACTTGTTGTTGTTGGCCAACACTGACGGAACATCCATTGGTGCATCTCTTTCTCTCATCCATTTATTGTGTGTTGTGATTCTTGTGCCCTCTTTCTATTCTGGAGGGTTGTGTGCTCTTTTGTCTTGTGTCTTTTAAGCGCATCCTTTTCTCTTTCATTCCTACCGAAACCAGAGTTGTGTGGTTCTGGCTAGCTGTTGTTGTGTTTCAAATCTGTGTCGTTGTCCCTCACATATTGCAACACACAGATCGTAAAAAAAGCCATCACAAGGCTTGCAAAAGAAGCGCCAGCTAGTCTCTCTCCATTTGTGCTCTGTTCAATCCCCACATTTCCAACTTCGGTGCTGCTGCTCACCCGGGTCTGTGTGAGTTCGTTCATTTCAATCATCATCATCATTACCAGCACCACCAACACTCTCCCGTGCTCTCCTTTCTGTTTGTTTTCAGACTCCTCTCTCGATATACTACCAACCTACAAGAATATTCTACTACTGCAACTCCAACATCTGATGGACTTCTTTAAGAACACCCTCGACTTACTCAAGCGAGATGATAACAGGTCGCTGTTGTTTGCATCGGGTCGGCTCACCTCTTCCTTCTCACCGACATCCTCTCATAAAAGTTCCTCTCCAGGCGTGATGAGCACTGGGAGTGATAGAGGAGGCACAGAATACTCTCTATCGACCAATCTACAACAACCACTGCAGCATCAACAGCAACCACCTCCTGTCAATGCTTCTCCTGCTGCCATCACCACCTCCACGAATGGAAGTGTCAATCATCAGAACGGTAACCTTTCGTCAACAACGACAACCATATTACAACAACAACCACAAACACCAATCAATGGTAAAAGTGGTGTTGTTGGAAATATGAACATGTCACCTCCACAAGGCACAAACGTCATTGTAAATAATAATTTAACAACAAATGGTTCATCAACGCCCCATCAAGTTGTAGCTGCTCTTCACACAGTCAACTCCTCTTCAACTAATATCTCAAATGGTTCAAATCCCAATTCACCAATTGGTCCCTTCCCTAATACAAGTGAACAGGAATTACTCAAATTGCTAGAAAAACAACGTCAATGTAAGTATATTGAGATCAACGAACATCCTTATCCACAACTAATACCTTATTTGGCAATGTACTTTCTTTGTCGTGCATTCTAACTTGTAATGCAAACAACAGTACGCAAAAAGAGGCCACCTCAACAACCACAACAACAGCCAATGACTTCTTCCATTCTTCCCACCACTAATGTACCTATGTCTAGTTCCACTCCTTTTCCATCTGTTAGTCAGAATGCTTCAACAAATATTAAGCCTGTGACAGCTGCCAATCCTGCCGTGAAAAGAAAGATTGGAGGCGGAGGTATGATCCAATCCGTCTCAATGCCAAGTAATCCACCTGGAATACCAGCAACCAAACCTCCTCCAAAGAAGATTAAAACTACAGACACACGTTGAGAAGAGTTTTGTGACGTGTAATTCTATTCAGTATTATTTAATAGGCTGACAACATGTTAAATGAATGAGTCAGGCACGGGCATGCCTGTTTAGGAGGCATGAACAGAAAAACCGTCCGAGTTGAAATTTGAATATGGTTTTCTCTAGGCCTCACCCAGATGACACTGTGATCACAGAGATGACAGATGAAACTATATCTGACAATGCTGATAATGACTCGAGTGTTGTTGTGATTGCTCATGAACAACTGGCTGCCTTTTCAAATCACACAAGAATTAAAGAGTGAGATTTTTAGTTAGTTGATGAGCACAGGTCAGGCAAATCATCTAGAAAGAAGGCAATTTTGAAGAAGTCCTTTCGCTTGCTCTTTTCAATAAGAAATATTTTGAAGATAAAATGCACCATTTGATCAATATTTAATCTGTTGTTAACTTCTTGAATTGCAGTAAACCAACACCTCAATTTTAAAGGATTACAACAAAAATTCACTCCTCAATTCGCTTTCCAAGTTCACTCTCCACAACTAAAAATAAAAAGAAAAAATTTGCAAGAATTCTACTGTTGCGATCGAAGAAGAAGGAACGCATTGACACCTCTCTCTTATTGATATTTATAAAACCATCATCATCACCACACAACAAATGAGATCCTCCATGATGAACGCCGTCGGAAAAGAATCTGTCTTGTTACTCGAACATATTTTCAAATCCGATCATGGGAAACAATTAGTTCTTCAGGTCCGTAAAGGAGATTTGACGATGGAAAAGGTCGACGCCATTGTGAATGCTGCCAATGGTCGTCTTCAACACATGTCCGGTCTAGCAGGAGCCATTGTCAAGAATGGAGGTCAATCGATTCAAATCGAGTCCAATAAGATCATTAAACAGTTGGGTAGAGAGTTGGAGAATGGTGAAGTGGTTGAAACCACGAATGGTGATTTGCCATGTAAAATAATTTTCCATGCAGTTGGTCCTATTTGGTCAAGTTTTAAGAGTAAATCATCTCCTGTAGGTACTGAACAAGAGGATTTTGAGTTGAGTATGTGTGTGGAAGCTTCTTTGACAAAAGCGATTGAAAAAGGATTCAGTTCTTTAAGTATTCCAGCAATTTCGAGTGGAATATTTGGATATCCAAAAGATCGATGTGCCAAAGTGTTGTTCAACACAGTAGAGCAGTTCTTTAAGGAAAATAAGGATAAGATTCCAATGGATCGATTAGAAGTTCGATTTACAAATTTTGATGATGAAACTTGTAATATTTTCTCGAACGAATTCAAGAGTCGATATTAAGATTTCGATTCTGGTGACAACATGTTCTTCATCAAAAGGATTTATATAATAATATATAATTCATGCATGTCAATTTATAATAACCTTTCATATTAACATCAAACTTGGTATTCCTTTGTCACAATTTTCTTAGATCGAAAGAACTTTGCCACCCTCTGCTTTCATGAGACCATCAAAAATGATGCTTGTTCAAAAATAATACAATCCATAATTTAGAATATTCACAATTTTAGTGAATCTGTTATTGCATTCCTGTCGAACCATGTACTTTTCCATATTAATATTTACTTAAAAAGTGGTGTGACCAACAAAAAAACATTTCACACTGATTTCTTACTGTAGAATGCAGCGAGGAGGTTCCGATCATGATCCTAGTATCCACATAAAAAACGCCAATCAGCCTTGGTACACCTATGAAGGTGAATCTCAACTTGCCTCTCGGGATGAAGAGTTTGATAGAATGGTGAAGGACGACAATTATGATGTTGAGAATTATCATCTTAATCACCAAGGAGACTACACGATTATTTTCAAGCACAAACAAGGAGGGCAGAGTCACGTCTTTACAAATATTTCTCCAGAAAAGGTTGAAAATTCAAGAATTAAGGATCTTATCGGTCATGTTGTCTATAAACAAAGCAATCAATAAAACTCGAAAACAGCATGACATGCAAATAATGGAAAACTTTTCAAGGTAGTGGTTTGAGATTTCGTGATAAATATATTATGCATGTCGCTTACATCGTTTTTCCTTAGATAGAGAAGATTATTTTGTAATAGATCGTATAGTGAATGCAAAGGCACAAGTGAGTGGAGGCAATGATGAAAACCATGTGTAGTGACCAAGGAATGGAGAAAATGACACTACGACAACATTGATAAATAAAAGGCCAGAAAATATCATAAACCACAACAATATTTCTGCATCTGATCCAGGAAATGCTCTTCCTCTACTACCATCTCTAACTTTCTTAATCATGTAATGCATAAATGTGAAAAATCCAATGAGGAAAAATAAGGCAAATGGAATAGCTGCATACATGAGATAAAAGCCATTTTCCATAAATTCCAAACCAAATCCTAACATGATCACAAACGATTCAACAAGAAACACTAGAAAATTCACTCCACTAATATACCGCAAGTTGCGAGGAAATTCGTGTCTGTCGTTTTTAAATGTGCGAGCACATAAAATGCAACTTCCGATAGGAACAGCAAAAATAGCAACTAAAATATAGAGATAAGGAACAATTAAAACATAAAACCAAGATATGGCGTAAGTTCTTGACACCATTCCATTAGGGAGAATTTTTTCAGTGAATGGCAGAAGTAAATTAATAAATGTCAATGCTGCAACAATTAAGAAAGAAGCAACCAATCCTTTCACCAAAACAGCAGCCACCCAAAATCCTTCACGAAATTCCCTTAAACAATCCAGGAATGTGAAAAACGTAGTCATTAAAAAAGCTACCGCAAAAACGAACCACAATGGAATGAAGGAAAATACTTGCCACCGTACACCAATGGCATTAAACAACAGTGGATCGACTGCATCAGTAATACCAGTCATGATGAAAAACAGCAAAAAGCCAGCATACAGTAAGGAAGCACTAGTTATGATAAAGGATTTTGTGTTTGATCTTAATTTGTTGTGATACTTCTCTTTTCTGAATTGGTCGCAATTATTTGAGATATTCAATAAATTCTTCATCATACTTACATCTGTCTGATTCGTTTTTCTCTAGCAATTCGTTTTCGCTCCTTGTATTGCTTTTTTCCATGTTTGATATGTAAAGCTCTCAAAGTTCCTAATGACAGAATTTTATAAAACACCTAGTTCAATCAATTACATACCAATACTAACAATCTTATTATCGTTATCGAATGTCACATAATCTTCAACTAGAGGTTTTTTTGGTGGAGGAGGAATTGGTTCTCCGTAAACTTTCATCTGTGACATTCCATCTATATCACTGTTATTAAATTGCAATTAAAACTTACATATCCAATTCGTTGTCTCTCGCTTACATAGTCTAAAAGTGGTCGCAGGCGCAGGCGTCAATGCAATTATGTCATTTCGATAATTATTATTTCACTTACAATCAATCTGTTCACTATAAATTTTCTTAAATAATTCTACACAATTTTCATACCACAATAAATCGTGTTTAGAAGCATGGTACCAATCGTGACTCACCAATGACGAGGCACTTAATGACCCTTTGTCTAAATATTTGAAAATTTCAACAAGTACTTCCAAAGGAATGTTTCTCCATGTATACTTGATGGCAAACCCCGAGAGGGCATTATTCGGAAGAGTTTGTAATGCTGTTGTTGTTGATGTGGAAGGTGTTGGTTGTTGGATTGGAATTGACACGAAATCTTTTTTGTTTGGATCATCATTGTTGTCGGAGCAAGATCCATTATTGTTATTATTCGAAACATGATCATCGGAATGAATGGAAATAATCACATGGTGGTGCGCGGACGTAGATACTTCCTCCAAAGATGAAGAAGGCATTGGTTGCTGGCTCATGGATTAAGGAGGGAATGGATCTCTTGCAGGAGATGTCAAATTGAATTTAATTCTGCAATCAACTATTACCTATAAAACTCGAGAGTATTTTTTTGTTTTGAAGTGGAACTGAACTTTTTCATGAGAACAAGGAACAAGAGAAGAATGAACAGTGTTCATGACGATCGTTTGTTGTGTTGTGAATTGGTAGAGGCTAAGAACAACTCTGTCCTAAATATTACATGGACCTTAATGTAATAAGTTTCAAACTACCAAGCAATCCAACAAGATCTCTGAATGCATTGGCAACCTGTGATTGGGAAGATCGGAAAATGTGTATGTCCGGGAGTCTTGTTCTCTGGTCGGAATTCGGTATCATCAAGAAGAAATCATTATGGAATCAACCAGGAATGATGAAAATACTGAATCATACAAAAACCCTTATTAAAATGATTCGGAATCAAGGCTTGATTCAAAAATCTTTGCAATCAACTCGCTGCTCATCAACTCAAACCTTGATGCCTCTTCTTGCAAAAATTTTTTGTTCCTGCACCAACTGCCGCTAAATTGTTCGTTCACCAACAATATTTTTTAATATCAAAAAAAACCAATCAAACAAAGGAAGAGGTATAGATTTATTCTTCATCATCATCAACTCTAATTTCCAATAACAGAAGAAGCCTCCGAGCGGATCTTTCATCATCAACGACTAGACAACGGAAACCATACACGCAAATCATCATCATTAAATCATTCTTTAAAGCCAAATTCATTATCATCATCCGAACCCGAACGCCATCATCAATGCCCTCAATACCATCAACATCAACACTGATGTTGATTCCTTCGCTAGAACAAACCCATAGGAATACTTTTTTGCACAAAGTCCAAAATGATCGCGCAGATGAAAAATGTAAGTAATCTTCCAGTTGTGGATCACACTCACTTTTCACAATTTTTATCCTAGTGGCCCAATATTTTGTGTTACAAGCAAAGAAACATCCTTCGTTGGCTCCTGTTGTCTTTGACGTGTGGCAAGAAAGTGTTTCATCATGCGTGTCTTCGCCAGGCCGATTATATGAACTTTATGCATTGGCGAAAAGTATAGTTGAAACAGCTTTGAAAGTTGGTGTTACAGCCTTAATTGAAAGCTTTGACACGAATTTCCATGCAATTGCTCTAAATCATCTTGAAACCCGAACGAAAGAGATTTCGAATGTAGTCATTGCTATTGATCGATACATTGCACAAGGAATGAAGCTTGTCAATTCATCCTCGATTCGACGACGTCAATTACCACAAATGACCAATCAAGTAACACCATCTTCAGTTCAAACACCTTCAACTTCTTCCACATCAATACCACCATCCTCAACTAACTTTGTGAAAACAGAACCTTCAAAACTCCCCAAACCAATTTCAGGTATGAATCAAACGACCAATAATGTCACTGCACTAAAGAGTGAAACCAAGCCAACGACAACACGACTCCTCTCCACTCCTCCATCTTCCTCACCAAAAACAGAAACACCTACCACCATACCGTCAAAAATCCATTCACCACCTCAAAAGTCAAACAACATGATGTCAAAGCCAGAGACAAGCCCAACTCAAACTACGACCGATAAGGCACAACCTCCAAAACGAAAGAAAATGTTCCTGAAGGAGCATAAGAACGCCTTGATTGATTGGTTCAATCAAAATCCTCAATATGCAACAGAATCGTTTTTTGGCGATGACACACTTATTCACAAATTCATTTCAGAGAACCAAAAGAGATTTACTGTACCATTAACTGCTCAGACATTGAAGAATAATAAGGAGAGCCCACACTTTAAAACATTTTTCCAAGCTAAATATCTCGGGGAACGATTGGTCAAACAAGAACCAAAAAATCCTGCTCAAAAACGATTGCATGAAGGTGGAAATTTCAATTTTGAACAGCAAAAACGAAAAAAGTAAACAATAATTAATTTATTCAAGTGACATCTGCTGAGTGTCATTTTCAAATAAATATGGTAGGTTCATGTGAAAAATTTGTATTAAAAATTAATTTGTATTTTGTCGGCTGGTCTCATTTAGAACCTGTCTTTTGGAATATCCAAAAATTCTTTCACGTTATAATATAATAACTTGTCCTTTTGTTCTTGAGAGAGTGTAGATGATTCTTCCACAAGTTTTCCTGGATGATGTTCGCCAAGAGGGAAAGGATAGTCACTTCCCAACATAACTCGATCATCTCCAAAAACTTTAACAAGCAAATTAAGAGCATCTTGATCGTGAGTGATTGTATCAGCCCATATTCTTCCCAAGAATTGTCTTGGATTTACCTTACAATCGACTTGACACAAATCTGGTCTCACATTAAAGCCATGTTCAATTCGTCCAACTGTGTACGGGAAAGAACCTGCGCCATGACTGAAACAAACTTTTAGATTTGGAAGTCTCTCTAAAACACCGCCAAATATTAAACTGCACAAAGCGAGAGTAGTTTCAGCTGGCATACCTACGAGCCATGGTAACCAGTACTTCTTCATCAACTCGGAACCGATCATTTGCCATGGGTGAATCATGATTGGACAGTTTAATTCAGCTGCAGTTTCAAAAATAGGGAACAAGGAAGGATCATCCAAACAATAATTGTTGATATGAGATCCAATTTGAATCTATAAATGTCAATAAATTTGTGTCACATTATGAAATGGTCCAATATAAATGTCATCGTTATATGTTGTATGATATTAATCATAGTATTGGTGACAAAATAATTGCAGTCATAAATTATACAATAATAATAATATGTTGATCACAGAATTATTCCTCATAAATACTTACTCCTGACAAATGTAATTCTTCCACACATCGTCTAATTTCTTTACAAGCCAACTCTGGAGCTTGCATTGGAATTGTACCCAATCCCAAAAAGTAGTCTTCATACTTGCTACACACATGAGCAATATCATCATTCAAATAAATAGAAGTTTTTAAAGCATCATTTGGTTTTGCCCAATAATTAAACATGACTGGCACCGTACTCAGCACTTGCGCAGTAACACCCGTTTTCTTCATATCTTCCAACCGAGCCTCCATGTCCCAACAATTTTGTTCAACCGCTCTAAAAAATTGACCATCTTTCATCATATTGGCTTTACCTTTATTCACCGGATCATGTTCCAAAGTAACAAATCCACCATATCCGAACTCTTCCTTCCAATCGGGCAGATAGGAAGGTAAATAATGCACGTGCATATCAATTTTCTTTCCGTTCGAAGCTGGCATGATGAAATTTCAATGTTGAAAATTTTTTTTGTGGTTTGAATTATTGTTGTGGTGGTGGTGATTAAAAAGGTCTGGACTACTTTCACTATTACGAGAAGATCCTGATGAGACGAGAATTCGAATTTGTATGTACTGTACCATGATGTTATAAGATCAATAAGATTCAAAGGAGATGATGAAAAGCACAGTTTCTTTTGAAATGAGGATTGAATGAGTTTTTTCAAATTTCTCTTGAATAGAACCTTTCCAAATGTTCTCAATTGGACAGAGGTGAAACAGATCACCATGAGAATCATTCGTTCATGAACGGAGCTTCTCAATCCTCTCTTGTAGCTTGAAATTCATCACATCCTAATAGTGTACCTTCTGGGATGCGTGAGGATTAAATCTTTCGAAGAAGACGAACGCACAAAAAGTCTTTCTATTCTCCTTTAAAACTCTACACAAAAAATGCCCACCATTAATGCTTCTTCCTCTTTTTCATCATCAACATCATCATCGGAAGAGCTGTTTCGTTTCTCGATTGATCGGGGTGGTACTTTTACAGATATTTATGCAGGTAGGATCGTTTTGATGTGTGTGAATTTTGTCAGGGATACAATGAATTTTGAAATTTGTGTCAATGATGATCATCATTAGAGGTACCAAGAACTCCACATAATAATTTTCAACCCTTCTTTGTGATGAAGTTGTTGAGCGAGGATCCTCAGCATTACGAGGATGCTCCAAGAGAAGGTACGATAAGATTTCAATAATTATTTTTCTAAATATAGAGATTACGGAAATGATTGTCAAAAATTGTTTTTATTAACATCGCAATGTTGTTAGGAATTAAAAGAATTATGAATAAGGTTCTTGGATTAAACATGAAAGATGCAAAAGAAATTGACATTGATAAAATTGAGTACATTCGAATGGGTACTACGGTTGCAACAAATGCATTGTTGGAAAGAAAAGGTTCAAAATGTGCTCTCATTACAACAAAAGGATTTCGTGACTTGCTAAAAATTGGCAATCAGTCAAGATCTAAAATTTTCGATTTAGTCATCCAGAAACCAGAGCTTCTTTATGATCGAATTATTGAAGTTGACGAGAGAGTTTGCCTTACCGAACAGGTCTATGGATCCTTCAAAAAATTCCAAGCTCCTGAACATGATGGATCCTTAATATCTGAAGAGGAATGGAAATCTCAAAAGCTGAAACATGGAATTTCCGGAGAGGAGGTCTATATCAGAAAAACAGTTGACAAGGAGTTTGTATTCAATGCATGCAAGGAACTTCATGAAAGTGGATTTAATAGTATTGCAGTTGTGTTGTTGCATTCCTATACATATCCTGAACATGAATTGGAAATTGCCGCTCTTGCAAAAGAGGCTGGAATTGAATACATTTCTTTGTCACATCAAGTAATGCCCATGATACGAGCTGTTCCAAGAGGACAAACTGCATGTGTAGATGCTTATTTGAGCCCAATCATCAAGGAATATGTTAGAAAGTTTTGTGCAGGTTTTTCTGATTATGATAAGGTATGTCTGTCGCAAAAAACAGTCTTTATTGAGTTTTGTATTTTCACAATTTCGAAAGTTATTGAAACGTGTCACATTTATGCAGTCCAATGGAGGTTTAACTCCAGCAGCTAATTTCAAAGGATGCAACTCCATTTTGAGCGGTCCTGCAGGAGGTGTAGTGGGCTACGCCCAAACATCTTTCAATCCTGAAGAAGGCACTCCAGTGATTGGCATTGACATTGGAGGAACAAGCACAGATGTGAGTAGATTTGGCGGAACATTTGATCATGTTTTCGAGACGGAAACAGCAGGTGTCACTATTCAAGCACCTCAATTAGATATTACAACAGTTGCTGCCGGTGGAGGAAGTCGATTGTTTTTCACCAAGTATGTATTTAACAGTTTTTCTAATGGTTGCGATACATCAATTTTTAACAAATAGGAGTGGAGTGTTCCAAGTAGGTCCAGAATCTGTAGGTGCAAATCCAGGTCCTGTATGCTATCGAAAGCAAACGAATCTTCCTAAAAAACGTCTCGCCATAACAGACGCTAATTTATTCTTGGGAAGATTGATGCCTGAATTTTTCCCCAAAATTTTTGGTCCTTCAGAGAATGAACCACTTGATTATGAAGGTACGTTCATGTGTTGAGTAATATTGTAAATGACATGGAAAACCCCTCACAATTATTTTCACACCAACTCTCAAAAAGCCACGAAGAGAGCATTTGAAGAGTTAACCAATGAGGTGAATGAATTTGAGCTTAAAAGAAATGGAGACAAGGCCCAATTAAAGAGTCCTGAAGAGGTGGCCTATGGTTTTATTCAAGTTGCTAATGAATCCATGTCTCGTCCCATTCGATCCATTACGGTTGCGAAAGGTTACGACACGAGAGATCATATTCTTTGCTCCTTTGGAGGTGCGGGAGCTCAACATTGTCAAGCCATTGCTCGAAATTTGGGAATGAAGAAAGTATTTATTCCAAGACAATCTGGTATTTTGGTAAGTGATTGAAATGTTCTCTATTCATGGAATTGTTTTTTTAACAAGAATTTCTTTGACATTCACACGTCATGCTTGTAGAGTGCCTATGGACTTGGACTTGCAGATGTTGTTTTTGATGAGCAAGAACCGTGTGCAAAAGCATATGAAACAGAAAACTTCTCATATTTTGCAAAACGTTTGGACGATCTCAGACTCAAAGTGGTTGAAAATTTAAAACGTTCTGGATTTGACGATTCCAATATCAAGACGACTTCTTATCTCAATATGAAATACAAAGGTACGGACTATTCCATTATGACCACTGTTCCAGAAAAGTTAAAAAAGGATCACAATGGATTGGATGGAGATTATCTTGCAGAGTTCGAAAAGTCCTACAAGAGAGAATATGGATTTATTATCGCTGGTAGGTCTGTCATTGTCGATGACATTCGAGTGGTTGGAATTGGATCAACACCTTCCATCAGCAAAATCGAAATTTCACAATCCACACAAAAACCTCAACCCATAACATTTACAAAAACTTACTTTGAAGAAGGATGGACTGAAACAGCAGTCTATAATTTAGAACATTTGGGAGCAGGAGATGAGATTCAAGGTCCTGCCATCATTATCCATGAAACGACAACTATTTTAGTGGAACCTCAAGGAACAGCTAGCATTACAAAATATGGAGATGCTGAAATCACTTTCTCTGAAGTACGAATTCAACAAGTGGATTTCAGTGAAATGGTTAAAGTTGATGCTGTGAGATTAAGTATTTTCAATCATCGATTTATGAGTATTGCAGAACAAATGGGACGATCACTTCAAAGGACTTCCATCTCTACCAATATTAAGGAACGATTGGATTTTTCGTGTGCCTTATTTTCTCCAAACGGAGATTTGATCGCCAATGCTCCTCACTTGCCTGTTCATCTTGGATCTATGAGTGAGGCAGTAAAATTCCAAATCAAACATCTTGGAGACTCGTGGAAAGAAGGACAAGTCATTATGGCAAACCATCCTTGTGCAGGTGGTACACATTTGCCTGATATTACAGTCATTACGCCAGTGTATTCGAATGGAAGAGTTGTTTTTTATGTTGCAAATAGAGGTCATCATGCTGATATTGGAAGTATTAGTCCAGGTAAGTGTCACTCATGTCACCATTCAAGATTACATGGTTTGTTCATGACGCCCATGTCTTGAAGGTTCAATGCCACCTTTTAGTAGACTCCTTGCCGAGGAAGGAATGGCCATTATTTCTCTTAAAATTGTTGAAGATGGTATCTTCCAAGAACAACGAATTACTGAACAATTAAAAAAAGCAGGAGCAAGATGTATTAAAGACAATATTGCAGATCTCAAAGCTCAAATAGCTGCCAATACTAAAGGTATTTCTCTGTTACAAGATTTGATCAATGAGTATTCATTAGAAGTTGTACAGAGCTACATGCAACATGTTCAAGACAATGCTGAACTTGCTGTGAGAGAAATGCTTCAACAAGTATTTGATGGTCATGCTAAAAGTCCAAATGATGAATTCATTCATGTTCTTTCTGAAGACTACATGGATGATGGATCTGTAATCAAGTTGAATTTGACCATTCGTAATCAAAGACATGAACAATTTAATACAAGTTCGAGAAAGCCAGTGGCAGAATTTGATTTTACTGGAACCTCAGAAATGGTTTTGGGTAATATTAATGCTCCAAAAGCAATTACCACAAGTGCCATTCTGTACAGCTTGAGATGTCTCGTCAAACAAGAGATTCCTCTCAATCAGGGATGTCTCGAACCAATTACGATCAAGATTGAAAAACACTCACTTCTTGACATTGGTGAAGATGGAATTGTTGGAGTGGTGGCTGGTAATGTGTTGACCTCTCAGAGAATTACTGATATTATTCTTAAAGCATTCTCTGCTGCTGCCTGCAGTCAAGGTTGTATGAATAATTTCACATTTGGAAATCAAACATTTGGATATTATGAGACCATTGCGGGAGGAGCTGGTGCTGGACCCTATTGGCATGGTGCCTCAGGAGTTCACACTCACATGACAAATACTCGTATTACTGATGTAGAAATTTTGGAAAGAAGATATCCTCTCGTTATTAAACAGTTCAGTTTGAGACCCAATACAGGAGGAGATGGCAAATATAGAGGAGGAGATGGTGTGAATCGAGAGTTTGAGTTTTTGGAACCTCTTCGTGTTGGAATTTTATCTGAAAGAAGAGTCTTTTCTCCATGTGGGTTGTGTGGAGGTGGAAATGGTGCCAAAGGAAAGAACATTCTTGTCACAAAATCGGGTTTAGTTCACAATTTGGGAGGAAAGAATTCATTCGATGTTCAGCCTGGAGATATTGTGTTAATTCAAACACCTGGTGGTGGCGGTTTTGGTAATCAAGATGAGCAGCAATAAGGCACCTGATGATTGAAGAAATTTCTTATTAAATTAATTTATTATGTGTCGTTAGTCATTGTGAAATAATTCATGCACTTTGTCTCCAAATGATCATTGCATGCAAAACCTTGAGTTCAACTAATCGTTGCAATTTTCATGAACTCCCTTCTGTGCATCTTTATCCGAATTTCAGCTTGTTTTTTTAGAACAATCCTTGAGTTTCGTGATAAATTTTTACTCTGTGAACATCCTTTTCTGTCAACCGCTTGTTTCTTCCCTTGCATTTTCCTCGTCCTTGTTTGAGTGGTTTATTCTTATTTTCTCGAATGATTTTTTCAATTCTTGCCTGTCGTCGTTGCTCCATTTTTCGCTTTTCAATTTTATTTTCCTCTTCCATATCTGCTTTAATTTGTCGTTCAATTTCTTTGATTTCTTGAAGCTCTTTCTTCTTTTCCATTTGTTCTTCGTAGGTTTCCTTCGCTCTTGTCTTTTTTACCGAGAATCGGTCTTTTGGTTGTTTCCACACCTTTCCCGATTTATAAACTGTTTTCGATACTTGAACATAGGTTCCTGGAGTGAATTTTGGTTTTTGAGCTGTTGTTGCTGTTTCCGATGATGATGAAGAGTCCTTGTCGTTGTTGCTCGTCGATGCGTTGGTGTTTTTCTGTTCACTCATTTTTTTGAATGTTTGAATTAAATTAAAAAAATTGAAAAAGTTTATGTTGGTATTTAAGAGTGGTGTTCAAAGAGTGCACTCGTGTGATGATCAATAATCCACTAGCAGATCGTGTAAAAATTGCTTTCGAGCTTGATTCAAAACTTTGGTCTTTTTGGTGGCACTTTGAACGCCTCCTGCCTTCTTTCTCTTTTTGACATTTTTCTCTGCTTCTTCAAGGTTGGCTTTTGCCTCTCTATTCAAAATGGACTTTTCAAACTTCTTCTCCTTCTTTTTCAACTTTTGAATTTCAGGCTTCTTTTCTTCTTTATCGACAACTTCAGTTAGTGACATGTCAAACATTCCAATTGCATTATAAAATCGAACGTTTTCCAATGAACAACTTGCCAAATATTTGGCGTCTCTAGAAATACTCATGTCGATAATTGGCTCATTCGTTTGATCGGTTAATCGATTACTCAATTTTGATTTTTTGGTATCCAATGAATAAATAATTCCATCATCTGTTGCATAGGTCAACATTCCATCTCTCACTTGAATCATACTTGATATTGAGGTTGATAACGATTTGATATTTTTCTTTGGCTGGAACAATTTGTCAGTATCAAATTCATAAATCACTCCAGAAGCTCCAGCAGCATATAATAATTGTCCATCTTGCATTGTTGTCAAGCTCACTAAATCATCATTCAATCCCTCCGTCACTGCTACTCCACTAGGTTTACTCTTTTTCATATCAACCACTGAAATACATCCATCTGCAGCGGCCGAATAAAGCAATCCAGTTTCAGGAGCATAATCAAAACAACTTATATAATCACCATGTTCATTATAGGATTTAATGGCCTTTCTTTGACGAACATCCCAAATTCGAACACAACCTTCATCATCTCCTGTAGCGATCCGATCATCATCAATGACAATGAGAGTATTTATAGGTGAGGTATGAGCATCCTTAATGCAATATTTGAGGGCACCTTTTTTGATATCCGTTACAGCAAGTTTCATATCGGAACCTGCTGAAAACATGAGTTTACCATCATCGGAGAAGAAGAGTTTACGGCAAGCTTCGGAATGATGATTAAATGTAGCCACGCATGTGTTTTCTATATCTATGGAATATTTGTAACTGTCGTGAGATGATTAAATTCATTCGGTTTCATAAATTTCAATGATTCGGAAACCATTCGTTATTGCAAAATCATCAAAAGAGTGGTGTATAAGTAATTATCAAAATTAATTGGTCATTCACTAAGATTGATTCACGTGCACAACAGGAATATTTGATATTTGGGACTTACATTTTAGCCTCTCCTGTTACCAATCCCATGGTTATCAAATCCAATTTCGGATGAAAATCAACTGAAAAAACAGATTCCGATTCACTGATTGGTTTTGGAACATAAATTTTTTGATTCTTCTCATCGTTCTTGACAATGAAATATTGTGGAAGAGAGTAATCAATATCATCCACTGATTCTGGGAGATCCTCTTCTTTAATCATTTTTTTTGTTGAATATAGAAACAACATTTCATGAAGAAGGACATGCATCAAACAAAAACAATGGATCGAACATGTATCACTCCAAATGATCAATCAACATGACCAATTTATATTAGATGAATGAGCTTAAGCCAACGAAGAATAAATAGATGTGAGTGTTGGTTTACACTTCCAGTATTTGCAAGAAGTGTTGTTGAAAGAAAAAATATGATTTCCTCACATCAAGAAAAAGCTGGGTTCTTGTTGGTCACTGTCGAAGAAGAGAGCACCACCACCAGCAGTAGTTTTTCATCTCGTGGTCGTGATGGTCCTCCTTCAAACACTTTCCATCATCACCACTCTCCAACGATCCATATTGAAGAACATCATTATGAGAATAAGCCTCTTCTTGTGGATGAATACAAACACCATGTTCATCATGATCTTCGCTCATCAAAGAGCATTCGGGTCGAATTGACCACTCATAAAACCAATAAGAGACAATACGCGGTTGATGATCAAGTTGCTTCATCGCATCATCATCACAAGCATGCTACAACTTCATCAGTGCCAATAATGAAAATCCATGTCCGTGATGAGGATCCAACCACAACCCGAGAAGCCTCATCATCATCCGCAAGAGTAAGATCCACTCTCGGAAAGAGAAATCTAACGGAATTTAAAGGGGACCAACACCATGAGCAGCATAAAGATCAAGTGGAGGTGGTGGATGAGAACCATAGGGTTGAGAACTACGATGATGATCATACACCATCATCATCATCATCGCCACGTATTGCGTTTTATGAAATTTCTTCCTCTTCCCTTTGGCAATCCAATCTCAATCATCCAGAGGAGCAACCCAATCACAATGTGTTTGAGGGTGGACCACCACCTCACGAAATAGCACAGCATGAACATGAGGAACAACCACCTATTGCTCAACAAGAGAATGTATTTCAACAAGTCATTTCTCAACAACAACCACACTTTTACCCACCACCAATTGTGGTTGGATATGGAAATAATGGCACCTTGTACGTACAGAGCCAAAACACTGGAAGATTCATTCCAGCCATTGTATCACCCAAGAAAAAGAAACCAAAAACCAAACATCCCATCAATGCCGAGCTTATAATCACGAAAACTAATGTAGTAAGAATTAGAAAGAAGAAAGGACAGACTGTTGTGAATTGTGATGTTTATGTTGGGAATCGATGTTTTCATGGTGGATGGAGGTTACAAGAATCCAAATGGGCAAATCCTTTTGAAAAACTTCCCAAACCTGAAAGCTTGGAAAAGTATCGAGAGTACATCCTGAGTCAACCCAAGTTGAAACAAGACTTGATTGAATTGAAGGGTAAAACTCTTGGATGTTTTTGTGAGAGGCATGAAAGACCCTGTCATGCAGATGTATTGTGTGAATTAGTTGAGGAACTCTATCCCTAAGTTTGTATATAATTTGAGGCGCCACACCACCTTATGTTGGAGTGTGTAAATGTTGATCCATGATGAACGTGGTTGGTTGGCTCTGAGGACAATCATGCAAGTTCATTGTACAGGTCACACCTTTTTGAAAGTTCGTGAAAAGATGAACTTTGAAACCTTAAGCGCAGTCAAAACCATTAAAAAATGTCTGAAAATTGGTTTGACACCAATCTTGATGTTTGGATTGAAGCAATCGAAGATCATACCTTCAAGTAAGTTGTTCAGCAAGTTGGCATGTTGAAGATTGTAACGACAAGATACTTCATCAAGGACCCGTATGGTTGCTTTGTCAAGAGACCAAATATGTGCCATTATTAGCGACCATGAATATTTCACTTCGGAAGAGAATGAACAACTGAAACAATCGGTCGGAATGGATTTGATGATGAGTTTTGATGTTGAACGCAAGAACAGTATTTTGCAAGAATTGGAAAAGTCGGTCAACCATGAAATGCAACAATTAATGAACAAGAACGGATGCAACACCGAAGGATGTTTCATTAAATTATCATGTCGATCTCCAAAAGATGCATTCGCAGTTTGTGAAAAGATGCAAACTATCTTTGCAGGCAGGATTGGTCAGTTCATTCAAGAGAATGGAAGAAAGCCTTCAGAAAATGAGAGATTAATTGCAGTGAATGAAGCTTTTATTCAATCCATGAAAGTGACTAGTTTTGCTGAGGAATATCACTATTTTAAAAAGTCAGCTCGAGTGTTGGAAGATTTCATGCTCTACTTGATTCGATCTAAATCTCATTCAAATCTCGATCCTATTCAAATCATTATAAGAGAATGGGTGGAAATTCCCATTCAACATGAATTTCGATCTTTTGTGAAAAACGGAAAGCTTACAGCGATATCTCAATATTTTGATACTTGTTATTTTCCAGAGCTCGTTCTACATGCATCAGAAATTAAGGAAAAATTAATTGATTTTTTTAACACTCACATAGGATCATCCATTCCAATGAAGGATTACATTTGTGACTTTGCCATTTCAAGCGATGGAAAAGTTTATGTTGTGGAATTGAATCCATTTTCTTCAACCACTGACGCATGTTTATTTAGTGTACGTAGGAATCGTGTGTGAAATTTTATACTCACTTGTTTGTGAAATTCATGTTCAATTGAAATTGACACTGTGCTAATGAATTCAAGTGGTCAAAGGACTCTTCTATTTTGAATGGCCTTAATGGAGTTAGCATTGAAATGAGAGTCAAGAAGAAAGAAGAAAAACATTTGAAGCATGAAATCCTTTCGGTATGGATTCCCTTTGTTTGTGGGCACTAAGAATGACTCACCTGTAAAGTATTAAGGATTTAATGCAATTCCCAAATTCCATTTAAATTAATGAACGATCATCGACGTCGCCCGAATTTGCCTTTTTTTCCAATAAAAAAATGCCAACTCATAGAAACAGTGGTAGCTCTTCCTCTCACCATCACTATTCCAATCGTCAAGGGAATACACGATACCAACATGTTTCGAAAGGAGGATATGCAGGAGGAGGTAGTGGAAGATTTTCCGACAAAAATACTGTTTCATCGTCATCCTCATCATCATATAAGAGAAAGTCTAATGACAATTCTAAATATAGCTACAATAGTCATCATCATACTGATAATTCTGACGATCACCACAAGAAAAGAAAACAAGAAAAGGCTCCTGTAAAATGTACTAGCGTTTCCCATGCTTTCCCGAGATGTAACGATAAAAAGATTGAATTGAGTGATTTAAAATCTCATCTCGAAGATTTTATTCCCGAAGAAGCACAATATGACTTGTTGGAGTGGATCCTGCAAGTGAGAGATGAATATTGCCCATTATTAAGCTATTCCGAAGTGAGTAGGAGTAAAAACACATTAATTGATGCCTATGCCGGTGTTGGTTGTGCATCTATAACATTCTCTAGAACAAGTGGATTTGATAACATTGTAGCTGTCGAAAGTAGCACTGAGAGATACAATGCACTCAAAAACAACGTCGTTGATGAATTTCAACTTGAAAAATATGTAGAATTTGTAAATGCCAATTTCTTGAACTGGATGAAAGAAAATTACAGTGATGTGAAATATTTCAAATCATGTATTTTCATTGATTTGAATTTATTTGCATTAGCATTGCCAACAAGTAGCGATTTGAGTTTCGAGTCTAGCTTGATGGAATTGCTCAAGGGACTGTTGGAAGATTTCTCGTGCCCACTTGTAGTATTACGAGTGAAGAATGCTGAGGAAAGAACAGTACTTGATGCTCTGAGTCACGTGAAAACAAGAAAGGTGATTCACAATAACAACCTTCAAGATGGTTATGACTACGTGGCAGTGCTTCCTCAACTTGCTGTTACAACAGCTCTCAACTCTGAGCAACAATTGACAAACAAGCATGGACTGCCCACTGTTTTTTCTCAAAAACAATTTCACTACGTGTGGCATCAATCTAAAGGAGACACCAAGAAGAGAACTGAACAAATTTTGTGCAAACAAATGTTAAGAAAATGTTATGGACAGCAGGCTATTGTCAAGGAACAGATCCAGAAATTTATTGAAACTTCTTCTAATGACCAAGAGATTTATGACAAATTAAATGATCTCTTCCAAAATAAGATATTTAAATCTAGAGAATATCTGAAAGAGAATCCAGTGAATGTTACCAAGATGAGTACAGATCGAAGTACTGATACTTCATACAGAACTAGTAATCGTTCTAACAAAATTAAGGAACTAATTCCAAAATCTTTGAAAGTCCGTAACATGCTTGATATTGGATGCTCTGAAGGATCAATTACGCAAGCTGTTGGACATGAACTTGGTTTAACAAAAGAAAACATTCATGGCTGTGACGTGAGAGACATTGGAAAAACTTACACCAACGATTTTACATTCCATCTCATTAGTGAACAATCCAATCATCTACCTTTCGCAAATAACTCATTTTCACTTGTGACAGCTCTCATGTCTTTTCATCATATCAAAAACGTAGAGGAAACTATCAAAGAGGTGTACAGAATTTTGGAGCCAGGAGGAGCTCTAATTATTCGAGAACACGACTGTTCCCCTCCTGAAACTTCACTCACCCTCGACATCATGCACGGATTATACTCACTGGTTTGGAGTTCTCCTCGAGAGATGCCCAATTTTTGTTCTGAATACTTTGCTGAATATCGATCTAGCGACGAGTGGACCGAGTTAATCACTGCTCCCATATTGGTTGACCAAAAAGACTCAGAAGGATCTTGTCAACAAACAGAGAAAAAACAATCAGGTTTCATTCTTGAGTATTGTGAAGATTTATCAACGTTTGACAACGCATTACCAAAACAACAACGTTTTGGCAGAAGAGATTATAAAGGAGGGGAACAAGACATCAAAAATCCTTTTAGGTCTTATCATGCGGTGTACATTAAGAGAAAGGATTGAGCAGCATGTAATAACATTCAAGTGATCTCTTCGAAAAATTTCCTTTGATATTCCCTGTTCACAACCATCATGTCCAAGCAAACAAAATGACCCAACATCCAACAGTGGAATTCAATGATCCTGTCTCATGCTTAAGGAGATGAAAGAGTGTCATAATGTTGTTGATGATGGTATGCTTCTGCTTTGAAATGCTGAACAAAATAATTTCAGTATCGTAGATATTTATGGTAGATATGATGCTAATGTTAGGGAGAGCTGTTACTTGACAGTTTCTGTTATTTCTTTTTACTGTCGTTAACTCGAAACGAGGAACTCAAAACTCTATCTACAAATAGATTCAACAGGAAATCTCAAAAAGCAACAATAAAACCCTCAACATTCAAGCATCATGGTGTGACAAGATCATGGTCATTGAGGAGGAGATTCAGAGTTGCAAAAATTTAGAGATCAACGACCTGTGTTTCCTGTCTTGCATATTGTTGAGACTTCCCAAGTATCGATCCTTGGCAATCCAAATTTCACAGAAAAAAGATATTAACAAGAGAGACCATGATCGAATTAATGATTTTCAGTAACTTAATGAGATTGTTGACAAAAGTGAAAGAATTTTCATTTGAAGTGATGATTGATGCGTCCATTCATGATCTCTTATCTAGAGGACTGAAGAGACAAGCTATGCGCTAAAATAGATTGCAATATATGGTTAATGCTTTTCTCGTATTAAGCGGGGTTTTCAAAACCTCCGCTGTCAGCAATCATTTGCGTAAAAAAATTTTGAGTAGCAAACAGATGCCTCTCATTCTTATTGATTTTGTACCATCATCACGCCACAATTCTTTCCAAGATCATTGCCTCCATCTGTTTGAAAAACTGAGTCAAAAGTTGGTGAAAGGAAGAGAACGAGTTCCAAGAGCCTTCTCTCGTGCATTTCAACTTGTTCACACCATCGATAAAATTGCACTTCCTTCTGTTTCGACGTTTGATGTGGCAACAGCTTTCGAATTTGACATGTATCTGAAACATCCGTCAGAAGTCAAGATTTCTTATCATCATGCTTGTATTATCATCAGTGACTCTGGAAATCAAAGAATGTTATTTTTTGACTTGATGTCAAAAAAGTTTATATTTTCTCTCAATATTGAATCGTGTCACTTCTGTGTTCAAGAAAATTACGATCAAATGGAACATGACGCACTTCTTTTGATTTCTTCCAAAATGTTTTTATGGAATTATTGTATGAAATGTGATTTACAATTTCTGTTACAAAATTCCAAATCAAAAGACAGCATTGATGATTCCAAACTTGTTGAAAAGAATTGTTTATGGAAATCTCAATCACTTTCGAATGTAACTGGAATTTGTGTGTCCAGAACCTATGCGTTCATTTCCGAACTTGTTTCAAAAACTATTTATGTGTTAAACTTGTCTTCTGGACTTGTCGTTCAAACCATTTCATTGGAAGGATCTCCATTCCGATCGGACGTGATTTTTGATAGTTCTTTATTCTATGTCATTGAACAGAAAGATGAAAAGAGTCGTGATTATCGAATCAAAATCTTTTTTCTCGAGAAGAATGACCTTCGTTCTCCACCGAAATGGAAAATTGTGAAAAGTTTTGGCGACATGAGAGAAGGAAAAGTGAATTCACCAAAAGGAATTTGTATTCTCGATAAGAGAGAGGGTTCTGAATTTCTTCTTTCATCCACGACGACAACAACAACACTCCAAAAAAATCGAATTCAAATTTTTCGATTTGGTCGTTGTGTCAAAAGTTTTACCACTGTGAAAGGTCTCTCTGGAATTTGTTTGAATGAATTCACGGGAGAGTTATTGGTGTGTCATACAAGAGAAGTTTCCATTTATAAGTGAGAGAAAGTGAACTCGAGTTCCACTTATCATCTTGAAATGAAATTGCTTTTGGAATTTTGAAAATGCACTTTGGAGAGTGAAATGAAAACTTTGAGTTGCAAACAATACTGATAAAGTAAAAAAAAACAAAATATGAACGATCTATTGTCATTGGATACTTCAGAGTCACTTTCTGAAGAGATTTCAAAGAATATCAATCATGAAAAGTCAAATGTCACTTCTCGAAAACTCTCTCTTTTTCATGAAAGAGATTATTACACTCTTCTTCCAAAATATCCAAGTGCTAAAGAAAAATCAAGTGGTGCAGGATATGCCATCAAATCCTCCAAACGATGGATCGAACATTCCACCTATGTCTATGCTCAAGAGAAAATTGATGGCTCTCAGTTGTCATTCATGCTGACAAATGTCAATGATGATGAAAATAAGGACCAAGCACTTTCCAATCAAGAAGAAAGAGGTCCAAGAATGAAATTAATTTATCGAACAAAAAAAGGTCCAATCTCCAATGACGTTTTCTTTGAAAATGCCATCAAAGGTATTACTGAAATTCAACATTTACTTTTCCCAAATTATATCTATCGAGGTGAAACCATTACTCGTTATAGACATTGTCGTGTCATGTATGGAATCATTCCTCCAAAATCTTTTGTCTTGTTTGATGTCCAGAATGATAAGGGAAATTATTTGCTGCCAGATGAAATTGAAATGGAAGCAAAACGATTGGGATTGATGTGTGCTCAAATTGTGTATCGTGGTTTGTTGGATTTTGAAAAGTTGAAATATTTGTGTAATAATACCAAATCTCAATTGGGTGGATATGCCATGATGGAAGGTTTGGTTGTGAAACAATATGTAGATCACACCACCATGACAGTTGACAGCTCTTTGAAAACAGATGAAATGGATGGTCTTGGTGACATTCAAATGGTCTCTTTCAAAATGGTTTCTAAACGTTACAAGGAAACAAAGAAAGCCAAACATCTCAAAGAAGAAAAAGATGTTGACACCAAATTGAAAACTATTGCTCAAAGTGTCTGCACTCCATCGAGATGGGAAAAAGCCATGATTCGTTATCTTGAAGAAGGTGGTGACATGAATCATATAGATTTGAGTGGTATTCTGTGTTTGGAAATTAAGAAGGATATCATTAAGGAAGAGAATGATTCCATTCAAAAGTTGTTGAAAGAGTGTGACATGGAATGTACAGATGGTGTGGTGGATATGATTTTGGAATTTGCAGTGGAAGGTGTCAAGGAATGGGCTAAACAATATGTCAAGGAAATTGCATCCACTTTCTTGAATGATTCGATCCTATCAACAGAAACAACCAATTCTGTTGTGGAATTGGCAACACCAATATTATTGGTGAATAAATGAGCGAATGGTTGTTGTTACATTTCAAACAGTTTGTGACGCTCAACTGATCATCAACAGCCAAATTAAATTCTCCTTCATTCTTCATTCTAGTTTTCTATTTGTTACTCAATGCCAATACAGCTTCCATAAAATCAAATACAACTTTCTCGTCAAATGCCACTCCATTCGGTAAGAAAGAACCAGTGAAGAAAGCTCGATTTCCACCTTTTGATGTTTTTACAAGAAGAATATTCTCATGTTTTCCATAAATACAAGCAGGAGTGACCTTCTTATTCATCACAGACACAGAACAAGAAGGATCATCGCTTGCAGATACGAGAAGAATTGGGCATAATAAATCATCACTTAAATGATGGCAACAACTAGAGGCATCGTAATAATCATTCTGAATATCTTGAACTTCTGGATTAATTTTGAGTGTGAAATTTGTGTCAAAATCTATGAAATTCTTTGAAGACATTAAAAAGTCGAGATTCAAAGTTGATGCTTGTGGTAGCTGTTGAAAGATGCTCCAATTGTTTTTCACAATTTGTTTGAGCTGTTTCAGAATTGTGTTGTGATAGATTGTCATGTGATTTGTCATGCAATTTTTGATGTCATATGGGTTTGAAATGGAAATGCACATGGAGAAGTAATTTGTTTTGGAAAGACCAGATATGGTGCTTAATAGTAAATTAGCACCAAAGCCCCATCCAACTCCAATCAATTGATCACCAATGAATTGAGAATTTGATACTTTGCCAATTGTGTATTTCTCTGCGAGTTGTTGAATGCAATACCTCAGAGCGTTTGCATCACCTAATAATTTGAAATTAGAGCCAGTGGTCAATGGGTAATTGTGAGATCTTCCTTCTCTGTTATAAATAATGACTCGATGAATAGAAAATCTAGTGGAGGCAGCAAGCCTTAAAGAGTTTCGTGCACCACATATGTGATCAATAAAGGAATCTAAATAGTAAGAATTTTCTCCCAGACATCCATCAATATCTGGCACCAATAGAAGGGTTGAAAATGTGCAATCAGAAGAGTTGGAGCTTGATTTCTGTAATACATCAAAATAATATGTTTGTCCATTACTAGAAATGGTCACTTTTTCATGCTTCCAACCTTCCTTCTCGTAGTAATGAGAAATGTTGTCACTTGTCAATTTTCCAAAGCCTAACAGCCTTGAAAATCTATTTCCTTTCACAACTCTAGCAAGCATTGTCTGTGCCATTCCAGAAAATCCGAAAAACATTGGATATCTGTAAAGTGACATTTCATTGAAAGCAGAAGGGCCAAAGAATATGGTTGACAAGGCCCAAGGAGTGTTTTCAATTTTCAATTTGGCTTCTTCCACAATTTTCTTCTTTTCTGAATCATCTTTGAAAGCTTGTAAATAATTATCACTCAATTTTGTGACTGCAGTTCCATTGAGTGAAGGAGAGAGTTTACAAATTTCACTCAACGGAATATGCTTTGTTTCGTTTTGATTTGTCTCATGATCATCTCCTTCTTTTTCATCATAATAGTCATCATCTTCTACACTTGACATCCTCATGACATGTGTTAAATTTCTTAATTTAGAACTCATATAAACTCTCACTTCATCAAACATTCCATTCACGTGTGCATAATAATAAATAAAAAGTAATAAACTCATCAAGAATGGAAAACTCATAAACATTTGTCGGAAATAAATTGTATAGGGTGAAGTATTCGCTGCAATAATTTGATCATAGATGGATTGAGTGGCTGTCGGAGCAACAAAAGTGTTTGTTGTTGTTGCTTGTTGATGGAACGAAGAAGAAGATGATGAAGCTTCTTCATCTAAAGACATTTTTTTTGTAAAGTATTGAGAAAAACAAACCAATTGAGAAACAATTGAGGAGAAGAAGAAGAACCCATCCAACAACCTTTTTTTGGAATTAACTGTACTCAATATAAACTTGAAAGTGTTTCAAAAAGAATGGTTGTGTTGGATTCACAAGTTGAAGATTCCAAGTTGAGGCATCTTCATGAAAGACAGCGCCTGTCTTATTCTCATTCGATTGACTCTTCGAATATCATTCGAATATAATTCCTTCCAAGGTGTTTAGTAACCTGCCAAATAGTTGTAAATCATTGGGTTCCAATACAGCAAATTAAGGACTCTTCGATGCATCACTCTTTTCAGAGATGTGTCGTGGTGCATGATACGAATGGTCTCTTGATTCAAGACAATACTTTTTGGAAGATGGTTCTGAAATGGGAAATGAATTTATTCACAATTTGGCCATTCGACCAAGACCAGTGGCCAATGCAGATCCACTTCAAATCATTCCATCCGATAACGATGTTGCTTGTTTCTGGATTACGAATGCCGACAATACTTGGTATAAGAACGCTGCTTTGGGTGGAAGATTTCCTTTTTGGTTTACCATGCCTTTAAATGTCAATGGTCTTTCAAGTAATAATTATTAGGTCGACCTCGTAATCAACCTTTGGGAGGTTTTAAATTCAATGTGGCTCACTCTTCGAATGGAAATGGTTTTCATGTGGATGACATGGTAAAACCTGATGGAACGACTGAACTCTCTGGTTTTTCTCCTCGACTGGGACCTTATCCAAATCCAACCGTTTCGGGTGTGTCTGTCGATGCAATTTTCGAAGGCCTAATCTCTTACAAAAATCGTGGTTATGGTATTTGGGCTCGTGGTGGTCCACTCGTATTCAAGAATTTAACACTTTTTGATAATCGAAATCAAATGAACTCTCCACCTGGTCCAAGTATTATTATGGACAGTTTATTCATTGCTGAGACAGACAATGTGGGTGAAGCTGGTTATCGTCCAACGATTGATGTGGGTGGTCGATCTCGTCCTGATTTCTATTCCACAGCTACTAAATTTGTCATTAAGGGTTATGAAACCTATGACAATGGTGGTCCACAAATTCTTGTTAATGTTACTTTTCGAAACTTTATGCCTGATTCATTTAGACAATCAGGTGCTTTGGGTCAATTAACAGATGCTCCTTTCAAACATCAAACTTTGAATCGATATGTGGGTTTGAAATTTGAAAATTCCAATCATGCGTTCATCATGCCAAATTATTTCGATGGTAATAAGGGAGCTTGTTTGTTAGATATTGATGGTGCTGCAACTGAACTCACTCCAGGTGGTTGGATTGTGGCCAACGACAGTATTTTATCTCATTCTGCATGTGTGAGAAGAGAGGATTGGAAAGGTTATGCTTGTCCAGTTTCTTTGGAAGGTTATGCACAACTGACAGTTGTCAATATTGGAGGTCATTTTGAAACCACAGGTACTTTGGGAATCAATCCTCAATTTAATAATCCATCTGCAAGAATTCCAAGAATGATTACTCATGATTTGACAAGACGTGCCAGTAGTCAAGTATTGGGTGCTGTTTCTTCTGGAACTGTCGATCACATCATGCACAGCAATGTAATTTTGAGAAATTTTTATGCCATTCGTTGGGTGTTGAATATTCCAACTCCACCAGTTCTTAGATTTTCATTGCCATCAAGTGCTAACAATGATTGGGTCGTAGTGAGTGTACAATATCCAAGAACTGCTTCTTTATGGATTTATTATTTGAAAAACAATGTTCCAACTTCATTGACATCTGTCAACAGCCTTTCTGAGATCGTTAAGGATCCTACCAATTATTATTTTGACTTTGCTGGTGAGAATTTATACTTGTATTTGAGAAATAGAGCAGGTAGAACTGCATTTAGTGAACGATGGGATTCTCTGTTTACAGTTGGGACGGTTATAACATTTATGTCAATGCCTCTTGTCCAAATGGTAAATGCACAGTTGACAATTATGATTTACCAAAAGATTCTGACAAATTTGTCAAACTCTACAATCGTGAGGATCGATTCGCTGGTATTTTGAAACCAATCGTCAATGGAGCTCGTGGAAATGGTGTCGCCTTTGCAACACTACTTCCAAATAAGCGAACCATTGATTTTACAGTTCATCATGATTTGACTTTAATTGCGACCAAGATGGAAATTGGAATTGGCGATCCATCCACTGGTTCTGAAGAACGATTCATTTCACAATTTGGTGTAAAATATTCTCCATTTTCCATGTCAAGATTTTCTGCAGACTTGTCAGTCGGTGAATTGATTCATCTCTTGAAAGGACGTCTCTTTGTCAAGTTACACACCACTGAATATTCAAATGGACATTTGAAAGGTTTCGTTGCATGCAATCAAGGAAAGAATTCCAAAGGTGAATTCATGTGTAGTTTGCCATTGCCAATTCCATCCGCAAAACCTTGCGATCCATCTCCTGCTGATTCTCTAAATATTTATTCGGAATCTGAAGATATGGACACTTCCAAGACCAAATTTGTGGATCTTCTTCCATGTATATTGGAATTGGTCGTGGTGGATGTCAAGTGTCAAAAAGCTTCTCTGCCACAGATTCTCGTTATCCAGCGAATTGGATTGATTTGGGAGTTTACAAATATTATGAATTCTTTGTGAAGGTTGTCACTCCTGGAGAGTTGAGATTGAATGTTTATTTCAAAGAAACTCAAAACAATGCTGCCAAAGATTTGACATCTGTGTTCGTCGATCCAAAATATTTTCAACATTACAAGATTGATGACACTCGTGTCACTCGATTGATAATTCCAGTCACTGATCTTCCATTCACCAACAAGACTTCACTCAATGCCATTCAACGAGTGAGATGGATTGTCAATGGAGGTGTTTACAAGGAATTCATAATTGACAATGTCAGATTTGTGAAGGATACAAGTCGAGATCCAGTGAATCCAAAGACGAGTGTGAGTAGTAAGAGACAAGTAAGCAGTGCTTATGTGATGAGACCAATGATGATGAGTGTGATGATTGTGATGCTTGTTGTTGCGATTTTCATCGAGGTGATTGCTTAGAAGAAGAAGGTGTCGATAAATAGATTGCGAAACATTATTTTGATTAAAAGTGATGATTCCACTGTTCATACTTTCAATGCCTAAATACTTGTCGTAAAACCACATTGGACATCGAAGAGAGTTTATCAACATGAAACTATTCATCTTATTTCGATTAAAAAAGGATTCTAATAGATTTCGTAGATTTTAGATCTGATTATTAAAATTCAAGAATTCCATCCTCATTACTTCCTTCAGTTCCTTCTTCAGCTCCTTTTTCAAATCCTTCATTTCTTCCTTCATTTCCTCTTTCATATGGTATGAAAAAAACATGATGATGATTTATGAAGAGATCGAAAATTACCCTCCATTAAAAAACCTTCTTAAGAGTTGTTCATGTTGAGAAGGGTTTGACATGAAGAGTGTGTTATTTGCACAACAATTTAGTGGTTGTGAGAATGGACCTCAAACAAATTCAAGTGGGCAAACCAATGATTTGTAACAAAGTTGACCAACTGCGACCGGCTGCTTCGAGGTCACTCTGTCAAATTTAATCTATCGCACAACCGAGACTGAATCTTTTCTTCGACTCGCGGACAGGGTAATTTAAACCCTTGCAAAGAGATGCTCTGATTGGAGTAATTGATGACGATAAATAAAGGACTAGAGTTTCTAAAGCACAAACATTCGCTTCTGATATAAAAGATGTGTGCATTAAAAAGCTCTTTTTGAACGGATGATTTGATGTGTTCAAAACGAAAATTTCAATTCGGCCTTATGCCAATTTTTTTTTTACCGTAAACAAAATTTTTTGAAGAAAGAATGAAAAAAGGCTACAGCACTGCAGGTTCCCAAGTTGTCTCCAACCTCAGTACTGATGCAGCTCGACGATGCTTAACTTCTCAAATCGGACGGGATGAGGTGCATTCATCGTGATATGGCCGTAGCCATTAGAAAGGGGTACACCTGTAATATTAAGGTAGAAGTAGAAATTATACAAATGTCTAAAGGTTTATTTAGATTGGACTTATTTGGAGAGATCGACGTTGTGAAGAGAGAGACTTGGAAGATCCTCTCAAAACTGAAATCTCTTGTCAAACAGATGGAAAAGCCATTAGAGGTGGAAGAGAATAGCGTCGCTTCTAATTCAATTGAATCTATTTCATCCCGATCTCTAAAATTCAAAAAAGTCTATGAATTTCCCAGCCACACCTTTATACCAGTGGTGCCTGTGGAATTTGAGTTGTGCAGCAGAAACATTGGAAATAAGGCATTCTCTGCTGTATTTTCAGATTCTTTGGTATCACTTGCAATCACTTATAAGGACATTTCTTCGTTGGATTTTTGTCGAGTCGAGTTTGAACAGTATTGAACATTATTTGAAAACCTTAAGGCCCACCTGCGAGAAAAATGGTGGCTCACTTCAAATTCTCACAGAAAATGCAGAAAAGACCTATCTCTTTGAAAGTGGGAAATTCACAAAAGTGTTGGAAACGTCTTTGATCAAGAAAAACAGTTTTGGTGACGATGAGATGTGCATTACCATCTATGCGTGTTGTGTGGGATACACAGTGATGGCCATTTTCACTCATATTGCTCCTTCTTTTCTCAATTTTCAACTTCAACATCAAACCCGTGGACATTGTCAATCGAACGATTGTAAAGAAGTTCTGAAAAAAGTGAGACACGAACCAATATCATCAATGTTGAAACACAAACTAATTCTAATTTTTCATCTGAGTCCATCTTCCACATTTAAACATTTCCAAGAGCTCATTCCATTCAGGATTTCGGTTTCGTTTGATGACACTCGTTCGTTCTTCTTTTACAAGTCCTTGATAGGGAACTGAATGTCATTCATGCGTGGTTATTGTGGTCAAATTGATCACACAAAAATCAAAATTCATCACTTACCTTTAACCACCACACAGGGATCTGACGAATGCGAAAGGATATCAGCTGCGATCAATTTCGTTGCTCGCTCCACAACAATTTCAAGAGAAATCGAGTGTTGAAGATTTTGAGACATTCTTTTGAAGCCACAACAACTCGACACTCACTTTCGAGAAAACATTTGGAAGTTCTTTTGAAGAAGCGCTCCTCTCTTCATCTTAAAAGTCCATCCATTCAAACCCGCAGCAGAGTGAATGTGATCCATGCACACACTCCGATCCCTGGCAGAGGTCAGTTGAGGTTATTATGATATTAAGTAATAGTTCCATTCACGTTCCCTCATGACGGAACCTGACCTAAATCACCACAAGCACCACGATATAACATCATGACGGTGGTTCGCAGCTGCTGATGCTGGAGGCATCTTCCTTCGCGCCCATTTTTGTTTTGTATCTCATTACAAAAATGACGCCAATAATGTCCATCATGGGCTTTCATCCTCTCTCATGCCATAATGTTCTTACGTGTAGGATGAATAGGATGATTATTTGATGAATCATATAAATAGCCTCCATATTGATTGAGAGCGAGCGTACGTTAGGAAAGAAGGACAAGATGAAAAAGACGATCCATCATGATGCGACATCGTCGTCCTTATTCAATGATGGTGGTACTTCTAACGAGCAAGTGTTTGAACACAAATTAATTTCCTCTCACAGATGCTGCTCGTCCGATTCATGTGGTCCACACTACTACAACTGCTACGACTCAACAACAAACTCATCATCTTCATCAACAAGTAGTCGTGGTTCCCTACAACCAAATATGGATCTTACTGAAATTACAACAAGAACAACAGCAATAGAAAGAAGGGATAGTGAGGATTGCACGCATGATGATGTACATACATCGGAATTCAATTCATTCCTTCTTGTAAGAGAAGACTCGTCCAATGAGTCTCCGTCGAGTTGGTTTGCTGACACGATCCACCACACCATCTTACTACAACAACCAGAAGAAAGAAGCAGCATTGCTTGCATGACTGACGACCGCCATGACCACAACAGCATTCTTCATGAACATCTTGAAGCATTACCAATGAATTTGGCGGAAGTTTCGATGAATGGAAATGTTGAAACAAATTCCCAGCCACAACATTCCTCTCTACCTGAAAAGGAACCTAAATTGTTTTTTAGTAATGCACAACAATTGGAAGAGTATGTGCTAGAACAAATTGGGAGAATGGATGAGAGTATATTCAGCCCTTCTGGCTCATTGGAAAAAGAAAATTTTGAGCTAAATGACACTTTGGGGGAGAGAGTTGACAAGGCTCTCACCGACGATGAGAATCAACCTTCACAAGATGTACCTGATAGTGATAGACCTTGTCGTGGTGACGACCCCTACTTGGTTCAGGAAACACTACTATCAGAAAAATTATCAACATTACAGGATGAGAATTACCTCCGTTCACTGCAACTTGGATCATTACTTGTAGGAAACGAAGAAAATCATACTAACTATCAAATGGAAACCATTGATAATCATTCAAAAAACGAAATCATCAACAACAATACGAATTGTGACGAATTTGAAGAAAAAACCTCTGTTGCTTGTTCTTATGAAGAAACGACCTCCGCTGAGTCATCGAGTGTTGACACTGAATTGAGTGAAGACAAACATAATTACTTGAAGACAGAGCAAAAAATTAAACCGACACTTGTCGACGATGTGGAGCATCAACATGAAAATACTCTTCAAAATCTGGAAACAGAATATGCATTATCACCACAACCTCAACATGTAAATATTCCAAGCATTCCTTTTAGCAATTCTCCAACTGTAAAGGTGACAACATCACTTTGCGAGAAAAAACGTAAACTTGAAGCATTGAAAACCACAACATCATTAGAAAGTTGTAATATCATGACCATAGAATCATCATCAGCTCCGTCACCAACCGATATTCAATTTGCCGTGATAGAGATTGCCCAAGTGTCACTAGATATTAAGGGAACTTCATTCTTTTCAAATGGGATTTATTACATGAAGCAAAAATATAGAAAGTCCGACAAGGTGTTGATCTGTCTAATCATCACCTGTTTATTAGTGAGCTGCATATTATTCACTGCACCAATTCCCTTACTTGCAATAGGTAGTTCATTCCTGCAACAAAGTGGAACACCCACTTCAGCTGCTGTTTCAGACGGAAATGCTATTATTTACACTCGTTTTCCATGTTACATTGTTGGCACAAGAGAGTGCTCATATTCTCAATCCTCTTCATATTCAGATACGAACCGAGGCATTGTCTTTCGAATTTCTTTTCCCACGTTTTCCAAGGACGGTGGTTCCAATGTGTCACAAACCAATCCAAACAAACCTTACAAAACCCTGCTCTCAGATACATGTTATCCAAAATCACAACAATATCATACACAATCCGAATATGTGTGCTACACCAACAAGGACGAAACAAAAGTTTCTCTAACTGAACCTAAAACCAGTCAAAGTTCTTACATGACCAATGTTGGTTTTCAATTACTCTTATTTGGAATTATTGGATTTATTTCAAGTGTCTGTATCGTCATTTCACTGTGCTGCATTTGTTGGATTCTAATTGAGCACAAACCTTGGATTCAAGATAATTTAACATTCTCAGAACAACTTCAATTGGAAGCAGCAGAAGAGGCCTCTCGAAAATATAAGGAAGCTAATTTGGTGTGAACAATCACCCAGTCATTACGAAACTAATTTTCTCAATAATATTAATACTAATAATTTATTCTAACTGAACATCCATTCATGATTTGACTAACCTTTTTGATACACTCAATAAAGATATTATTCCTATTAACCTGAATTAAATCATCTTCAAAATTTAATGAATAATATTGGTAATATACATGTATACGAAAAAAGAGGACCAAATTGTTAAAGTTAGCAAAAACGAAAATAAAAAAATGCAAACAAGGAAAAAAGCCACCAACACGCAACAACCACCGATGATCAATGCTTGGATTTCCATCCCATCATGGAAAAGACTATTAGTTTTTTTCGGGATTTATCTATTGGTGTTAGGTGTTTTAAAAACAGTGGAATACTTCAGTGAAGGGTTACAAAAGATTGAAGGAAGCTTGGATTTAAGATCATCGGGATATTCATCAGATCCTCCAGAAATTGAAGTATTTGAATTGATTGAAAAGATGGGCTCCGAAGGAAGGACTAGTCATCTCATCATGCAATTTATAGATCAATTTCTATTTGTTCCGATTTATTGTGTTGTCCATTGTTATGTCTGGTTAAAAATTGGAGAAGGCTTATTCAGTCCATTAATGTACATTCTCGTCGCTCTTACAGCCTTAGTGGACACGGCAGAAAATTTATCCATCATTGTCTTGTTATTGACCTATCCGTTTTTGAGTGGAGTGGTGAATGTGAAAGAGTTGGCTGGGTCGACACGTCCACTGTCAACCTTTCCAACGAGTCAAATGATATTGAAAGCTTTAGCAAGAGGACTGCATTATTTCACACCTTATAAATTCATGCTCATTGGACTCTTTTTCCTAACCATGTTGGTGATGACCATTTTGTCTCACATTATGGTTCAAGCAAGTGAAGAAGAAGAGGAAAAACAGTCTGCTGGTGACAACAAGGCGAGCTCCACAACAGCAACCACAATTTCAACGTTGAAAATATCATCCAATACGACAACATCTTCGTTACCAACAGATCCAAAGAAAAACAAGAAGAAAACACAATAGATCTCATTCTCATATGTTTTGATTCCTTGATTTTAGGAGATTTCACATTTTACAACGATCATGGATTCTTACAAGCTCACTTCTGTGAAGTTTCGTCTTTTAGTTGCCGACAACCCCGCGCCTGTCAGAATGATTTTTTCCGTTTGGTTGCCTAGAAGCGCGTTGTCGGCAAAACAAAAAATACCTGAATTCTATCCGTGGAGTGGGAGACTTGTTTCTCATTATTGACAGCACTTCTGGAACAACAACGACACAATAAGATGACCATGAGAGGACTTGTTCGCTCCTCCCTCTTCTTGATGCTGACCGTTTTGGTCACACTTGTCGTGATTGTAGTTTCCGAGTCGCATCCACAACTCGATTCAATGAAAATCCACAATTTGATGAACATTGGTGTGAAAAATCATTTAGAAGGAACGTTCAAAGTGCACTTTTTGAATGGTGATCATGATGGAGTGATGAACGATCATCAACAATTTAAAACTGTGGATTCTGATTGGATAGGAATGTATAGAATTGAAAATGGAGATTCTTTCAAATTCTTTGCACAAAGTTTGCACTCACCACTGGCTGTCACTTTTGACGGAAAACGTATGGACCTTGTAGTTTATGTTCCTAAATCGCACAATGATTGCATTCGATTGAATTATGACATGATCGATACGACCCAAGAGACAAGCTCCACCAAGAGCGGAATTCACATGACTCTCTCAATATTTATGGAAAACATGCTGAGACCTGCATTGCTGTCAAAATGGAGAATGGAACTCAATGAAGATGGATATTTGAGTGAAATTGCTCAATGCACTGAAAAAGACTCGTTAATTTTCATCAATGATTTGAAAGAGGAAAGCAATGATGCTTTGATCGCCTGTTTCAGTAAGAAAACAAACAGAATTTACAGAATTAGATCGAGAATGGCTGAAATTGAGCTTGACACCATTCCAATGTCTACAGTCTCCTCTCATTACAGTGATTTAACCAAATCCAATTGTACAACAGTTTCTCCCAAGCAACAATTCAAGTCATTTTCTCCTTCTCAGTCTTTACTTAATTCCGAAAGAAGAAAGACCAGTGTCACCTCCACTCCATGGTACAAGATGATGAAGATCCACACTTCCACACCTCACATGAATGGAGTCATCATGATCAAGAATCCACACGCAGCACCAAATGCCACAAAAGTTTGTGTCTTTTTACATGGAGCAGGCTATCGATTCGATCAAGAACCCGCACATTCGTTTTCATATTGGGGAAATATCAATGCATATACCACCCAATGCAAAGAATCATGGTTCATTCGTCGAAATACGGCCAATCGAGGATGGACTTCTGAGGAATTACAGACCTCTTACTGTGCATTAGCTCTCGTCAACAGTAAGCCAAATACGACCCTCATTACAGACACTATTATTTTCACACACTCGATGGGTAACTTGATCTTCCCAACTGCCATGTATAAGGGATATTGTGAACTCGATCTCAAGACATCGACGTGGGTTTCCTTGTCGGCACCTTTCAATGGATCAAAAGCTGCTTATTATTTGAAAACTTTGTGTTACGATTATGATCATCAATCTGCCCCAAATAGCATTCAAAAAATTTTTGACTTTATTGCTGAAGTGACACAAAATTGTGATGGTGAAAATCCAATTGAGGCAGATGCAACTCTGTATCCTGATTTTTGTGATATTGACAGACCCAGTTATCGAGGAAAGAAACCCATGTGTTTGGGTTCACCAATCTTCTCTTATTCGAAACCATTAATTTCTGCAAGAATGTGCGGTTTTTCACCTATGGGACTCGTTACTTATTATGGAATTGCTTTGGAGTTATTTGCAAATTTAGTACAATATGGTGAAGCAAATGATGGTTTGGTTCCTGCTTCGAGTTGTCTCATGGACACACCAATGGATAAATTCTCTCCTACTCCAGAGAGTGCATTATATAGCGCAAACATTAATCATGCAGGTAGGTGATAGATCTTTGTGTGGAATTGAAATTTTTAAAATTTATTATTAATATTGCATATCGACAATATTGTCATTTTGTGAATCATTGAATTTATTATGTACATTTATTTTGAAATATTTAATGTGACATAAACTGCTCAGATGCCACATGTAGAAATGGTGACTCATTATTTGGAGACACCTCCAAACAACCATGTGCATTCTATTCCTTCAGAAACTAAAACATGTGAAAACATGATTCTCTCGAACGAGGAATGAAAACATTGTTGCCTTATGCAATTTTTCCAGACAACCAATCAAACCCTTCATATAACCCCTCCCCAGTGATTGCCGAGCACTCTTGCAAGTGATAATCTTGTTTAATACTTTTCAAATCCAATTCCTCTGCAATTTGAGATGCCGATAAAGCTTCTGACAAATCTTGCTTATTTGCTAAAATAAGTAATTTCACTTTTCCAAATTTGAATTCGTTAGTATTTCATGCAGCGTTTCTCGTGCTTCCTGCATTCTTTCTCGATCTGCAGAGTCCACCACAAATATAATAGCATCCGTATTTTCAAAATAATGTTGCCACAAGGATCGAACTTTTTCTTGTCCTCCCAAATCGAAAATCAACATTTTGACATTGTTGTATTGTATCATTTCCGAATTGAATCCAATTGTTGGAACAGTGGTGACATTCTCATTCAAACCAATTTTATATAAAGTTGCTGTTTTACCAGCATGATCGAGTCCCAGAATTAAAATTTTCGAATGTTTATAACCGATGATTTGAGAGAAGAAGATTTTCGAGAGAAGGGAGCCCATGATTGACAAAATGTTTCTTGTTGTTGACAAGAGTTTCAACGAAAATTGCAAAATATTTTTTTTGATGAGAAAACAGAAAGGTTCGATCTTTTTTTGGAAGATTTTTAATGGACAATTTATGAAATCGGTTTTTATTTCATTCTGGATATGAGGAAACCCTGATCAGGGTCGCGTCAACAATTATTCCCCACTAATGTAGTAGAATCTGCTAATGCTTGCATATCCAATGGAGACAGGGCATCGATGGGATTTGTAAAATGCAGCTAGTTGATCATGTCGACAATGTCTCCTGCTGTCAAGGTCTGTATGTACCACCACATATCTCAATTTTGAAGATGCTTGACTGAGTCTAGAGGTAAATTCTGTCGCTTTTTCCCAAATATCTTGGTCTGCTCCGTAACCATGTTGATTGAAGGTAATTTCAATAGAAATTAACTGTTTTAAAAAGTCAAATTGCTCCTCTAGTGTAGTTATAGTGCTAAATCCATTCAGTACCAAATGTTCTAATTTAGGTAATGTCTTTTTGTTCAACAAAGAACGAAGAATAATTACTTCTTGTATGCCCAAATTTTTTCCATAATTTCTATAATCGTCGTCATTATATCGAACTCGTAAATATCTGACGCCTGGAAATGTTGCTCCATCAAATGAATATTCTTGAGTGGCTGTTGTTTTAGAATCGTTTCCTTGTTCCACGCTCAAAAACATGATATTCTCTGGAAATTCATAGTCCTCAAGTGGCAGCAAATTGGGAATCAGTGAAATTTGTAATAAAATAATTTTTGACAATCGATTTCTTAGAAAGTTGAAATCAATGTCCTCCTCCTTCAATTCAGAGTTCTGATCAGTTTGGGAGTCAGTTGTTATATTGTTATTGCAAAGCAATTTCTTCCAACCAGATTGCTGATAGACCATCAGACCAACTTTGGGATATTTAACATTGGGGTTATATGGTACTTTTCTAGCCCAATCAGAAGGTTCTGATATTGCTTTTTTTGAATAGTGGTCGAAATAATGATAACCAAGCAATGATTCCGAGTTGTCACTCCAATACTCTTGTCTACTTTCGGAATCGAGTGCATCAAACATGTTTAGACTCAACATGAGAGATCTGAAGAAGAATAATTCAAAAGCTGATGTGTAGCTTCTATATTCATGGCAGTAATCTTCAATACTCAATTCCAATGCGTGTAATCTCTCCAAGATGGCTTTTCTGCTCGCTTCAGCATTGTTAAATATCGGTACTTTTTTCTTAGACTTTTTATCATCTCCAACATTATCAGAAAGAAATTCATCATATTGCTCTTCATCATTAGCATATTCGTCTTCGAACCAATTATTATGGTCAATAGTAGCATCCAAATCACTTAATGACTTTCCTCTCTCATAATGCTGCACAATATTCTGAATTCTTCCCATTTCCTCAACAGCTGTCCTTGACAAGTCTCCAGTGCCCAATTTTAATGTTTCCAAAGTCCTAGTTCGAATCCAATAAAACAGCTTTTCGAAAAAGTTGTATCCATTCAACCAAAACAATTCAAAATCAGTCAAGTGATCGTCATCTCTTTTGGAGGTGATCATTCGATTCAGTTCTTTGTTTGTCTGCATTAATTTCACAAGAGCAACAAGATTTTCATACGGAATGAGGAATGACTCAATATCTGACGATAAATAACTTCTTTTGTATCGATTTCGTTGCTCCTTATCAGCATTTGGATCAATTTTTGTGACATCAATTTTTTTGTAGAGCTCAAAATCTCCAACCAAGAAAGTCAAAATGTGTTGAAATATTTCATTAGGTAATTCGGATAAACATCCAAATAATGATTGATGATAATCGGAGGAGGTGTTCGTGGTCTGATCTTGATATTCTCTTTCATATGGAATACAAATGGTTTTCAAACTTTTATAAGGTGGAACAATATAACTGCTGTTGCTGCTAGTACTACCAACTCCGGTGCTACTAGAATGATTCACTTCACTTTCAAACTCAGCCTTCCTCTTGGGTTGTACCTTTGTCATGACTTGAGCCGCTTCCGTTGATTTTCGGGCGGTTTGTTTGGTCCTCGCCATCAAGTGTTGATCAATTTTTTCAATATTTTACAATTTCCAAAAGGTTGATTGTTTAAATTGAAAAGTTGGTGATTATTAATATTAATTCTTTTTTCTTGAATTGATCTATATATATATATTGGTGATTATTTCACGAGCATGAATAGAAAATGGAGCGCTCCGATTGACACATACAGATGAAGAGTAAAACAACCTTCATTACAAAATCAACATTTTGAACAATTTCAACAAAACACTGATCTTTCAATCTTCGTTGAACAACACTCGGAGAGCGTGAAAGAGTAAGCTATAGTGAACGTCTTCCGTTGAGTCCTTCTGATTTTCAAATTTTAAGAATAGGTATCATCATACATGATACGTACCTTTGAATGATGATTCACAACTTTTTCAACATTCACTTTTGGGTAACGCTCTTGCAATTTCTATTTTGGTGATATTCATTACTCATTTTCGATTTGGACTTTGGCGAAATTCATCATCTTTACATCTTCAATGATCCATGTTCTGTTATTGAGTAACGTTTTCTGAATGGATGACCATGATGAATCCATGAACACAAATGCTCAACATTCTACAAACAAATACTAAGGATGACGTTCAATGTCCTATGAAGAAACCTCATTTCCTTTTATATCAAAAATATCCAAAAACTTTTAGCAATTAGATATCACCACGACTTCTACTTTCTTTATTTATGTTTGCTTTTCAGAAGATAGAAATGCTGAATCACACTTGTCACTCAATTCCTGGATGAATTTTCTAAATTCATCAAATCATGAATGATTTCTGATTGTATTGGAGTCCGACTTTTTACACACCTCTATACAATGGCAGAATTCGTTTAAAACGTTCATCTCCACAACCACACTCTTCCACATCGTCCACTTAAAAAACGAACAAAAGCAATTTGCTGCATTCGCTCTTGTCACTTGCCAATTTTCACACAATGAAATTCTCTCAAACACAGCAACAACCAGACGTTGTGATTGCAGTCATCCTTGCTTTTCTCCTTCTTTCCTCCTTCTGTTTGTGTGCACAGTTTGATTCCAAAGTCTCAGGAGGTACCTCAGCCACTGATAATGAATTTCCACACATGGTCAGCATTCAATACTTTTCAAGTCCAACCGCCACAGGAATTCACTATTGTGGGGGAACTTTGATTTCTCCCAAACATGTCGTTACAGCCAGTCATTGTGAAATTGGTCTCACGATGGATAAGATTCGAATTGTGATGGGTTCCTCCAGCAATGTGTGTTCCTCAAATCTTGCAGCTTCCCAGAAATGCATCATGAGAGGTGTCACCCGTTTCACTAAACATCCCAACTATGATTCGAGTACCATCAAGAATGATATTGCAATCATTGAATTGGATCAACCCGTTCCTTTGGATGGATGGCGAGTCACGTCAGCTGTCGTCGAAGGATCTACCATTCCAACCAATACACAGGTGTATATTGCAGGTTGGGGAAGAACCACTTCTTCCTCGAGTGTGACCAATTTACAAAAAGCTCAAGTTCCAGTCTCACCTGCATCGGTGTGTAATGCCAAGAATTTGGGAATGACCACTCCGCAACAAATTTGTGGTGGAAATGGAAATGGAATTGACACTTGTGGAGGAGATTCTGGTGGACCATTGTTTAGAAAAGTAGTTCCACAAAGTGGATTACCAATTTTCGTGTTGGCTGGTGTGGTGAGTTATGGACCTCCTGGATGTGGTGGATCAAATGTGGGTGTTTATACCAATGCCACTCATTATTTGGATTTCATTAGAAGTCAAGTGTCTACTGGAACTCAATATACTGTTGCAACACTTGCTTATGGAGCTCAACAGCCTTCTCAACCAACTCCTCAACCATCTCCAACACCAGTCACACCACAGCCAACTCCAAAACCTTCCCAACAATCATGCAAGTGCAAATGCTATTGTAAGAAATTACAAGCTTTGAGAGAAGGAAAATTGAGAGGAAATTTATGGATGACATCTTCCTCTGCTTCATCAAAACCACAACAGGATGAAAACAAAGCAGTAGAAGTGCAAACAGAGTGTAGTACCAATTCCAAGTGTGAAACACATGCTTTGAATTCTTCTGCATCTCAAGTTGGAACCAAAGTGGCATTGATTTTCTCATTGTTAGCGATTGCTTTTGTTTTTTGGTAATCATTTTGTTTTCTCGTGAACAACAACCACCAAACTTTTCACACAACAATTTTGACCTATACTATTAAAAGATAATAGTAAACGCACATGAGAAGCAAGAAAACCTTCTTCTCAACCATTGTAACAACCATTCATACATGTACACTTGAATTATTAAAACAACAAGTAACCTTAAATCATGTTCATAATCTCTTTCATTTACGCTTGATTGTTTATTTCTGATTTTTTATGCTTTGAAAAGAGTTTGGTGACATGGCGTTTTAACCACGAAGATGGTTTTGCCAAAAGCCAATACATGACCAATAACTTGGTCAACACAATTATTAGAATTACGAAAATTACACCAAATTGTGTGATCAGATAGGGAAGCAATAATTCTCTCAATCCTTGAAGACTCTGTATGAAGGTGACATTTTCAGCACAAGTATCTTGCTTGGCGTTAAAGAGAATGGATGTGAACACCAATGTCAAGGAGAACGAAACAATTCCAGTAAAAACTCTACATGTTGTCAAAATGTTAGACGCCAGGAAAAATCGATTTTTCTTACTTTGTGTCACAATGACTGGCTTTCTTCCTCGAAGATTATTACCACTCAAATTATTGAGATTTGAAGGAGGAGCTAAATTGCTCATATAACTACCTGTGGTTCTCGCTGAATTTCGATTTCGTGCTGAAGATGGTTCTGCTTCTAATGTATTTGAACCTGCGGTCGTCGATGTGATATTAAATTTTGCAGTGCTTTGACTATCCATTTCCACACTTATCCTCATGGTGTTATTCTCAACCCCGCCGACATTAAGACGAGAATAAAACTCTTCATCCTCCACTTCGGTCATCAAAAATAATTTTCTTCCAGCATTGACCAATGCAATTAAAACTAAAGCCACGGAAGCAATGGACAAGATGGTTGCAATAAGGTCACTCACCGATACAACTACCACAATATTAAATACCAATGAATTTAAATCGGAAAAGTTACAAGAAGCTGTTGAAGAAGTATTAAAAGTATTTTTCAAAGCTTGATTTTCAAATACAGTCCACCGTATGGAATGTAGTAGCGACAAGTACTCTTGAGGCTTTTCCAAAAATTGCTTAATATTATTCAATAAATTATTTACAACAGTTGCTTCCATATGATCCGAAAAATAATTATTGCCCACTCTTGCTTTCGGCAGATTTATATATTTTGTAAAATAAACTAATCCCCAAATTGCCAATCCTAACGAACATGTGATTATAAATAAATCAACAGAAATTGAAAATATCGATGGTTTAAGTTGAATGGATGATTCAAAATCGACTGAAGATGTTACAGAAGCAACAGAAAATCGTTTTGGATTTGTTGGTTCATCATGTTGCTCTTCTACGGATGGACGGTCTTGTTCCGAAATGATGATGGGATTGTGGTGTCTGTAGGGAATACGTTGTTGTTGCTGTTGTTGTAGATTCGGATGTGCTTGTTCAATAAATAAAGAATTGGATGAGGAATTCATGGTGGTGAGGGATTGGTGAGATGAAGAAAATGTTGTGAGCGTTCGGAGAGAATTTTATTGCAGTCTCTCCAACAAGTCTTGTTTTCGTATTTTTTAAAAAAATTTAAATAAATGTTAAAAAAAGGAAAGATGGATGTTGTTTTCATTTTCATTCAACTTTGGTTTCAAAAATATTTGATGGCACGAATAATTTCACGTTTGCTTCTTTTTTAATAAATGGAAGCAGTATTGCAAACGGTTCCACAAGCAACTTTTCTCTTCTTGTATCCAAACAAAGGTCGTACCACTGCTCCAATATATCCACCCAGCAGAGCCATGGTTATCCATGAATAACCATGAATGGACATGCATGAGACACCAGAAAAATAAGCTCCAATGTTACAGCCATATCCAAACTTTGCTCCAATACCCATACAAATACCTCCAATAATTTTGGCAATAGCAATTCCAATGTTATTCTTGAGCCAATTTCCAATATTATTCAAAATTCGTTTCAAAGTTGTGAAAATGGATGATGAGTGATCACCTTGTTTGTGACTCTTAAACGTATGAGATAAGCTCTTCAGTGAAAATCCATCTAAAAAACTTGGGAATTTTCCTCGTAATAATCCAACAATTAAGGCTCCATAGACAATTCCAAAATCAAGAATAAAATTCGAATTGAAGAGCATATTGGCCTTCCTTAAATCAATATCTTTCCATGCCGACCATTTTGGAACATCAAGTGAAGGAGCAATAGCATCCAAAATTTTACAACCAATAATGGCGAAGGGACCTGTCAAACCCATGGGATGTTGCGTAGCTAAAAGAAAACAAAAGTTTAACAAAGCCAATGCAATCGAGCCACTAATTAAATCCTGAAATTTTGAAATTTAAGGTATTGTTGTGTGAAATATTCTCCCTTACAAGATGCACTTACCCAAGGTCCATAAATAAATCTAAAAACAATCATTGACACAAATGACATTAATTTTTGAAGTGGTGAGCGAGTATCAATTTCATAATCTTGATTAATGAGCCCAGATTGTTCTTCTGCATCTCCACTCAAATCCATCTGGTTTTTCTTGTTTTTTCTTCTGTAGTAAAAATGAATAGCAGCTGCAATGGACACTAAAATGGTTATTTGTGTCAGCATCATAATGACTGCAATCAAATACTCAAGCCATGGGTTTTTTTCAAAGAACATGATACCAAAGGCCTTTCTCAAAAATGTTCCTGGAAACAATAAACTCAATCCTGCATGATTTTTAAACCCAATATTCCAATCTCCAGCACTTTGTAATGCAGTAGCAATTACTGAACCACACACAAAGAACCTTTTTGTATCGTTGAAATAAAAATGGAAATCATATCAGCAGCACATGTTGTTGTGGTTAATGATTAATTCCATCGTTAGCATGCGGTTGTTGTTGTGCTTAATAATTAACCATTTAAATTTCAATTGATATATAAACTTACACCAATAAATAGACACTCCATAAACTTCCACCCCCGATAGTGAACAAAGTACCTGAGGCACAAGCATCACCAAGCTGCATTCCTATTCCGAACAAGAAGCCTCCAATCACAATAGAAATTGTCATGGGAGAAGCCTCTGGAGAGTACATGTGCCATCCAGCAGCCTTATCAATGATATAGAGCATGGAGAAGAGGAAGGTAGCCACCGCAAGCATGATGCAATGAGCTTGCATAGTCGAGTATTGCGGAAGAGCTTTATCGGGAGTGAGAATAATTTCCTTAGGTGGTTGTTCTTTTTCTTCATCACGATGAGGATTAGACACTGCTTCTTCCTTCGTTTGGCCTTCGTGAATGAGTTTTTGAGTATCATCATCCGATGAATTTTGAATTTTCTTGATATCCACCAACTCATATTGTTGTTTGTAAAACACTCGGAAGTGAGCTCCGAACCCATATGAAGACTGAACGAGAGCATAGCCAAATGCAACCGAAATAATCATCACAAAGCCAAGACGCCACGTCGAGGCTCCTTTCAAATCATGACCTGCAAAGTAGCCGATAGAAAAACCAACCACGGAGAGAATGATGAGAAGAGCAAGAAGGAAGGAAACTCTTCTCCTCCATCCTTGGAATTGTTCTTTCCAATTCACTTGCGACGATGTTATCGTTGTAAAGAAATCGAAACGGCTCAACAATGACATTTGGATTTCTTTGGTGTGAGGAATTGCGGCGATTTTTTGTTTTCGTTTTTAATGAAATTTCCTTTCATCCAAGTGTTTTTAAGCGACATTATAATGTTATCCTGTTGAAGAGATAGTTGAGTGCTGTTCGGGTTAAGAGTTCAACCTTATTTTACATCTCATCTCACCATGACTATGTGGTTATGCCCATTATTCACACAGCTTGTCACCTTCAAAGAAGAAACCTCAAGAAGACATAAAGTTCACATGGTCAGTGTGATCCACATGTATAGTACCTCTTGGAAAAAGAAATGAACGAAATAAGGAAATACTCGCAAGAAAAAATTTTGCCGCCATTTTTCAGTACAATTTTTTTTAAAAAAATTCATGCAACAACCACCTCAACGATTGAAGCCTATTTCAGCAAAAGGCGGTCCAAGACAGGACGCTTTAGTCTCTAATCAGAATAATAATAATGGAGGAATTGTTTCTGCAAGAAGGGTGAAAACAGCAGGAGCTCCCTCTCGAAAACCTCAAACTCCGAGAGGAAATAATAGCAGTCAACGAGAGGTCACTCCGAGAGAGCATGCCTCGAATCAAGAAGAAGTCCTCCCTTCCCAGAGTTTGAACGATAATAATCCAATGAATAGCAGAGGTGTCGTTCAGTTAGTGGATGCATCATCTGCGTTGTCGGTTTCCTCGGAGATGGACATCATCGCAGAAGAAATTGAAACGATATCAACAAATGAAGAATATAGATCTCAACCCAACGATGTTTCATTAGATTCAAAGGTGTCAAATATTGAAAAAACTCTTTGCAGCAACAAATTATCGTCGCAAATTCTGACAGAACTTGGAGAATTGCAAGACGAAAATACCGACACGTTTATCGATGAAGAGCACGAATTGGAAAAGAAGAAATTGATTGTGTTGAAAGACCTGCAGAAAAAATACCCGCAATTCAGTTCACTTCGAGACCAACCTCTTCTTGTGCCGTTCAAACCTCTCGCCGATTCAGCTCCAACAACCCCAACACCTATACCACCAAAAGCCTCCGAAGATGAAGAAGAAGGAGATGAGCAAGAAGAGGATGGTGATGAAAACGAAACAAAAAAACAACAAACAGTGACATCACCCACAACAAACGAACAACAGCAATATGAAAAACAACAATACGAAAGGTCGATTATGGGAAACGCCACTCTGGCTGAAATTTTAATGGAATTGGAATTGGAAAAAGTGGAAAAGAAGAGAGACGAAATTCTAAATGCCAAATCATCAATTTTAACATCATCTGCAGCTACCACTTATAACTTCAGTTCAATATCATCGGATTTACAGAGAAAATCTTATCTTGACTATCGCAAAGAGAGAAACGAAACTCTACTACAGCTCGAAAAATTACCCACAGTATCTTTCAAAGAGCCTTCTCACATTTCGGCTGAAAAACAATTGAATTTTTGTTTGGAAAAGAAAAATACCAAGGCCTATATGGAAAATTTTGTCTTGTCTTTTACAATTACTGGAAAGAAGTTCAAAAATTACAATGTTACAAAGTCATTACAAGATGGCAAAATTTTCAGATCGTTCGGACATGATCGTCAGAGCAGAACCTATGCTTCAATCTAAATTGTCAAGAATTCAGAAGGAATATGAACATTCTTGTTCGAGACTGAAAGAAATTTCTTCAGAAATTCGATCTAATCACCCAAAGAATATTATCAAAGTCACTGACCTTCAGACAATTATCCGAAAACAACTCTATGATGCTCGGGCAAGAAGAAAGGTAGATCAATTTTTGTTAAAATCCAAGTGGCTGCCGTACTCTGAGAGAAGAACATTATTTAAAAAAGCTTTTGATATTCCAAATGTACAGACCGATGCAAGAGCTCCAGGAATATCTGTCGTTAAATCAGAGATAGAAGAGCAGTTGGAAACGCTAAAAGATTGTGTCGAAATGAAAAAAACTTCCCTCTGAAGAGACAGGTCAAGAATTTTTATACCTTGTCAGAAATAAGTTTGATGCAATATTTAAAGCTCAATCTGCAAAGCTGAAGGTTTTACCCTATCCTTACAAAGAAAATGTAAATAACGACAATAGTGGTTTAGGAGGGGAGAAGAAAACAGATTTGGCGTCAGATACTTTCACTTATTTGAAAGAGTCTACTTGGACAAATGATCCTTCTTACAAATCTTCAAAAGTTTTTTTTCCTCCTCAAGATGCATTTGAGCAAAAACAAACTATATTAATGACCAACGATTTACGAATTGATCCACAACTTCAAATAGAGGCTGGGTTTTTACACACTACAGAATTACAGTATGCAAGAAAACGATTGAAAGATCAAGCAGATTCTCATTTCAAAAGAGCAAGAGTAGAAGATGAAGTTCAGACCTATCTTGAAGAAGGATATATAGCTGAGCGAAAGTTACCTCATAACAATGAAGAAGATTCCAATGTGGAGGGGAAA